CATAAGCACCACATCAATCATGGTCATGACCATTTTCATCAATATAGAAACAATAAACATTCTACAATTAATTATAGTAGAAAATAAAAATCAAAGATGCATTTTTGGCATAAATATGGAATGATTGGATATTTGGCATATGTATGTTGTACTTCAAAATACTTTATTAAAATATTCCAAAAAAATAAGAAACTTTGAACTGAGGCTTGTGAAGTTTATACTATATATGCGTCCATGAATTCAATTGGTGTGAAGATTTAGAGGCTCATATAAAGGAGAAAACCTCTAATGATGAATCAAATGATGCGCTCATTGATATTGTAATAATACATATTATATTGCAGGATAGACAGTTTTTTATTGAAAAATCTTCAACTTGGCAAATTAAAAATTTGATGACTATGGCTAGATTGAATGCGTTTAATTCCCAAGAGGGAATAGCAATGGTAAAATTTCCTACGAGCTCTATCATAAAATATAAACCTATAATGTTTGCATCCTCAGCATTTCAAAGTCTGATCAACTACCGAGATGTACATGCCACTGGTTATCATCTCTCAATTACAATTCTAGATAGGCAAAAGGTTTTGGTTCTTGAAAAGAACCATAAAGTTGTAGAAAAAGCTTTTATTATGACAAATGGTTTATACCAGATTGCAATCAGACCTCATATTATATTTAATTTTATATCATTTATAACAAAGAGTTGCATTTTTCTTTGGCATGGACAATTGGGACATCTAGGATCTATATTATTTTGGAAGATAATTCCATGGATAATTAGATATAATTTAAGACCTTCAGATGGAAATTTTATGGAATTATGTTGTGCATGTGTTTAAGGCAAGATGATTGCTTGGCCATCAATTTGAAAACTCCGAGAAGAATTACCACTAATGCTTGAAAGGTTTTATGGTGATATTTGTGGTCCTATTAATCAAATATCTTGATCATTTTGTTATTTTTTGATCCTTGTTGATGCATCAAGCAAACAATCACATGTTTTATTATTATCATCTTGAAACATGATATTTGCTAATCTTATATCTATGTTTATTTGTTTTTGAGGATATTTTCTTGATTATCCTATCAAAACATTACGTATGGATAATGCAAAAGAATTTGCATCAAAGTCCTTTGAAGACTATTATACTATAACAAGGATTGAGTTGACATATTGTGTTCCATATGAACATGCTCAAAATGGACTTACAAAGTCATTTATAAAGCATATACAATTCATTACCCGGCTACTCTTTCTTTATGCAAATTTACATACATCTATATGGAATCATGCAGTTTTGTATGCTGCAATATTAATATATTTCCATCCTTCTTCTCTTGAAATTATAACACTATAAGAGCTTATTTCAGGTTGTATTCCAAATGTATCTCACCTATGGGTATTTGGTTGCTATATTTGGCTTTTAGTACTAAAACATAATGACATATCATTGAAGCTCATCCACAAGAAGGCATATATATTGGTTTTGATTCACCAAGTATTATTCATATAATTGATCCATCAACAAGCATATTATTACATGCACGTTTTTAAAATTGCCGTTTTGAAGAGAACGTATTTTCATCTCTTCAAGGAGGAGTATTTAATCAACAAAGAAATTTAGTACTTGCATTTGGAGCACTAGAAACATTTACAATGAATCCTGATCCTATAACATCTTTGGTTGAAAGTGAAGTTGCCAAGGTTCTGTATCTAAAATGGATTGCAAATGAAATATTTGATGGTTTCAATGATGAGCCTTGGATTACAAGGATTCCAATTAATGAGGCTCAAAATGAACTCGCTCAAATTGCAATACCACTAACAAATATACCTCAAGTTAAAACATCAGCAATTAAAAGGACTCATGGAGCGAATAAGCAACCACAAAAAAAAAAACTATAACATATGGTGATTTTGGTATTATTTCTGTGGAAGTTCCTAGTAAACCTATGGGACCATCAATTAATGACAATATGTCCATGCATATTATACCTTCACCTCATGCTACAGAAAATTTTGAAATTAGGAGGAATTAAATCAAGTTGAGTACAAAATTATTTGTTCTATATTATGCTATTAATGATCTTTAGGATAGACCATTTATTATAATAGATAAATTATTTGCATTCATGATAGCAAAAGTTCTTTCTTACAAGAAAGAAAATCTTGAATCTCAAACCATTCAAGAAGCGATGTGTTGCTTTGATTGATTAAAATAGAAAAGTGCCATTGAGGAGGAGTATGCTTCTTTGCATAAGAGAAAAGTCTTTGGTCCAATTGTGGATACTCTTACTTCTCGCCTTGTGGGATATAAGATAGTATTAATATGAAAGCAAGATGCTAAAGATCAAATAAGACGCTATAAAGCTTGTCTTGTTGCTCAAGGATTTATCCAACAGTTTGGCATTGATTATGAATCTACATATTTTCTAGTCATGGATTCAATTATATTCCAATATATTATTGGAATGGCAGTTCATGGCACCTTTGAAATGCATCTCATGGATGTGGTAACTATGTATTTGTATGATTCACTTGATGCAAATATTTATATGAAAGTTCTACTTGGTTTGGAAACAGGAACTCCAAATGCACCTGCTCCAAGACAATATTGTGGTATTAAATTACACAAGGCCCTATATGGTCTAAAACAATCTAAATGCATATGGTATCAATATCCTCAAGATTATTTAATTATAAATAAGTTTGTAAATAATCAATTAATTCCTTATTTATTTATCAAATAGAATAAAAGTAGTTTTGTGATCATTGATGTATATGTTGATGATTTTAATCTAGTGGACACTAGATTTGCATATGTTGTAGATACTAATCGTCCTATATGTGAATTTGAGATGAAAATATTAAAAAAAATAACTTTTTTGCATTAGTCTTTAAATTATGCATCTCTCAGATAGTAGCATTTTTCTCTACCAACTAACATATCTTAGACAAATCTTACAGAGATTCAATATGATTGATACTTATCTATTATCCATACCAATGGTTGAACATGGTTATGATGATCATGATCCATATCGTCCGTGTGAAGAGGAGAAGGAAATATTAAGAGAACAATATTCATATCTTATAGTGATTTGAGCACTTTTATATTTAGCCACATCTATCAGATTAGATATTACATTTTCTGTTAGTATTCTTGCAAGATACATTTCACGTTCAACACTAGGACATTGGAATGGCATCAAATATTTACTATGTTATTTAAAAGGCACTGAAGATTTGAGATTATATTAAACATGATCTGTAGATCCAAAATTAGTTGGATATTCTGATATAGGATATAAATATGATATTGCAATAACTAAATCTCAAACATGCTATATATTCTTAAGACATGGAGCTACAATATCATGGAAATCAATGAAACAAATTATAACTGCAACTTCATCCAACCATGCAGAAATTATTGCCCTATATGAGGCATCTCAGGAATGTATTTGGTTGCAATTGATAAGCTCATTCAAACAACTTGTAGATTTTTATATGATGATTCTCCAACTATCTTATATGAAGATAATAGCACTTGTGTTGCACAGATGCAAATTGGTTTTATTAAAAGAGACAGGACAAAGCATATTGATCCAAAGTATTTTAGTTATATCTATGACTTGATTACTAATCAAGTACTTAAGATCAAGAAAATTGAATCTGCAAATAACCTTGCTGAATTTCTCATCAAAGCTCTCCGTTTGTGCAACCATCATTGACTTACTTATGGCATTGGCATGCAAAGACTTGCTTTTCTTAAGCAAGAAAGTTAATGAACTCTTGAGATAATTTTGTACTTTTTTTCCTTCATCTATGGTTTTGTCCTTAAATATAATAAGGTTTTCCTAGATAAGGTTTTAATGAGACATCAGTTCTTAATCTTATGAGATTACAGAAAAGTATAGATTATAATTCTATGCATATAAATATTATGACGAGCGAGGAGGAGTGTTGAGAGCATTAAATGTAACTGGCACTCCCCATATTGTAGTCTACAATATTTGGAATGTAGTGGAGAGACATTGTTTATCTTCTCTCCTTCTCTTTGTATAAAGGATCTAACCCTATCAATAAACTTACTTCTTGTGTGTGTATGTGTTTACATATGTATGCATATTACTTCAAATACTATTGTCTCTCTTTCTCTAAAATATTCTCAACAAAATTAATGCACACTCTCTTCCTCGAGGTTTAGACAGAGTATGGGAGCCATTGCACCTAGTTGTCACCTATATTTTTGCATTAAAAGAACACAACAGCAAGAACACATCACACGTCTGATACTCAGCATCTACATAGACCTGGTCACCTTTTCACCTTTTGTCTACTCAAACAGTAGTCCGGCCTCCTCAGCAAGCCCTATCTCTACATCAGAAACCACAACTCTTTTCATACTCGCGCCCTCTCTACATTTCAATAACCAAATCGAGGCGACAATGGAACAACACTCACAAGTCATCTAACTAATCTCCATTTCAATCTCTTCCTGACTACCAGTACACACTCATCACCGAAGTTAAGTAATCCATCTTACAAATACCAAAATTCCTAACACTCTCACCTAACAAGTTGCCGACAAATGGATTGAACCCGGCCATCGCATCAGCGAAAGAAATCGCTGCAATTCGTACGAGTGAATTCAGACGCATGGCGCCTCGGCGGTCGCCATACGCCTCGCATCTGAGAAACAGCCAACGCATGTGAAATTAGTATCGATATTTCAAATGATAAAGGCATTCATTCATTCATTCATTCATTCATTCACACTCACCTACTACTACTTTGCTCTGGAGGCAAATGCGTTGGTGCCAAAACGAGTGCAGGAGAATGATCAGGTGCAGCGAATCTTACAAATATATATATATATATATATATTAAAATATCGTCGCTGCTTCAGGGGCGTGTGGTGGAGACGCGCCTTGCGAGGTTTTCAAACCACGGAGCCAAGAAAAGGACAGCAGAGAACTCATCCACGTGTGCTATCCAATGCTCTCTATCTAGTCCTCTCTAGAACCCGATCCCTGAAAAGACCTTCATTCCAGCGCCTTCCTTCGATTTCCTCCGTTTTCCCCAGAAACTCAACTGCGCGAGAGCCGCTACTCATCCGCTGCGGAGGTTTATCTTTTGGAGACAGCGCCTTTCACCTTCGTTTTCTTTGTGCTCTAGGTCATAGCTTTGTTTGCAGAGTCTTAGGTGCACTCGCGGTCGAGGATAGTTTTTTGTTTTTTCGAGTTTGTGTTGTGAAGCTGTTTGTGAGCTGAGCGATACGGGAAGTAGTTTGTAGGAGAGGTAGCAGAGCATAATGGCTATAGCGGGTACTGCTGCGGCCGGGGCCGTGACGACGACGGCGACGGTGGCTTCTGTAGGCTCGAGGAACGCTGTAGCTGGGAGTTGCAGCAGTAGCAGCAGGGGTGTAGCGGTACGAGCTTGGTCTTCGAGTAGATTTGTTGGTGTGAGAGCCTCCAACAACGATGTGTCGACGAAGACGGTGACGGGAGTGGTGTTTGAGCCCTTCAGTGAGGTGCAGGATCAGCTTGTGAAGGTTACCACGTCGCCACAATTAGACTCGTTGGCTCGTCAGCGCTTCTCAGCTTCTTGCGAGGCTGCCATCAATGAACAAATCAAGTAATGCTTCAACTTCTTTACTTCTTTACTTGAATTTCTTCTATCTGTCCGAGCAGTGCTTGGTTACCACGTATTTAAGCCTCGTATTGTAGTGGTGACAATGCTCGAGCGCGGAACTAGGAGTCTTTTGGTCTTGGAATGAAATCTTCTGTTTAGATCATATAGATTGAGTATCATAAAAAGCGTTGTCGTGTGGTCGTGTAATTCGGTTAAGTTCTGGTTATAGGTATTTTCAGTGTGTAGGGTAACTCTTAAGTTAATGTGGGCGTAGTTTATTAGAGGCGGAAGTGTTTGGGTCGGGTGTGTCGAGCTTTGGAGTGTTAATCGTGGGAGAAGATATTTTGCTCACTTTCATTGAGTTTTATTTTTCAGTCCTACTTCATAGTTCTCTTCCCTTAAGCGTGTGGAGTTTTCTGAAAGATCACGTTGATACTTCCACGAGCCACGGAACTATGTATGACTGAACGGCGTACTGTTAGTTTCTGGTAGAGCGTAGTGAGCGTTTTGATTTATGGAGCTTGTTAGGTGCAGCGCCACACTAGCACTGAAGAAGTTTGGTCAACCTCGCGTAATGTGTTACTGACATTGTACTTGACGTACTTTGTTTTTGCAGTGTGGAGTACAATGTTTCTTATGTTTATCACGCCCTATTTTGCTATTTCGACCGTGACAATGTGGCTCTTCCAGGTCTTGCGCAGTAAGTATTGCTAAGCTACTCCCCTTTATGCTTCTTTTTCAGATATTAGATAGAGCAGTGGACTAACTGGTATATTGCGGAAACGTTTGCAGGTACTTTAAAGCCGCTAGTGACGAAGAACGTGAACATGCTGAGAAATTGATGAGATACCAGGTATGATCTATGTGGGAAAAGTATACTCTGACCTGCGGTCATATTTCTTTGATTCGCTTTGGATACCAGTGTTATCCATTCTTGTCTCGGTTTTAGACGTTGCTCTTCCATTACGGTCATAGTCTGGTCTGCAGTGTAGCATTTGAGGTCATGGTTGTTGTGAAGAATTGTGGTTCGGATGTTATCAGTGATGTATTACATGGTGGTGCGCATTTCAGAACCAGCGAGGAGGAAGAGTCAAGTTGCAATCTATTGTTTTACCTGAGATGGAATTTGACCATCCTGAAAAGGGAGATGCTCTTTATGGTAGTAAACTCTTTGAATGACAGAATCATTTGTAGTATGTTTATTGTGAACTGCATTCTATCCTTTTTGCAACATTCGGATATCTAACCATGCTCGGTATGCTTTTCAGCTATGGAGTTGGCGCTTGCATTGGAGAAGTTGACTAACGAGAAGCTTTTGCAGTTGCACCAGGTAAATTACGCTTTCTTTTAAGGTCTCGTCACAAACTTTTAATTAGCGTTGCAGTGGTTTTTAGCTAGTATGTATCTGATGATCTTAAAAATTCCTCAGCATCGATATTTACCTTTAGTGAGAACTAGAATCAAATAGATTTTTTAACTACTTAAGCAAGTCGTGTTATATAGGTTGAATGCAGTCACTATGAGAATACTAACAGGTCTTTCTTGTGGATTGGACAGGCTGCCTCTGACGCCAATGATCCCCAGATGACTGATTTTGTTGAAGGGGAGTTTCTCACAGACCAGGTATTGCCATTTGCACTTAATGCACAAAGTCACTGTGACCCAGAGCTTAACGACATCGTGTTGTTATAAGATGGAGTGATTGTTAAGTTTTTGCGGTTGTAGTACTTAGTACGTGGTAAAAAGGTTGACGTGAGTAGTAGGGTTTTGGTAATGTCTTCGGTTCTCTATCAACAGCCTTACTTATTTGTCTTTGTGACGATCTTTGATAATTTAATAGCGAACCTATAAGATAGAAGCTACATACCTTTTGTTATGCCTTTTAGGAGCAGATTACATTATACAATATGATTTCTCCACTTTACTAATTTAGAGAATTTGGGTGATTAAAGGTTGAAGCAATCAAGAATGTGTCCGAATATGTGGCTCAGCTACGGAGAGTTGGGAAAGGGCTTGGTAAGATCTTCAAATCCGGTCATGTTTGTGATTATGATAGTAACTATACTTATGACAATTCTAAATCAGTCTCATCTGTCTGTGATTGAACGTAAGTTAAGAGCTTTGTATTTTGTGTTCACCTACATCAGTGATGTCTTGGTAAACTCATTTCTGCTATGTGTATACAGGTGTCTACCACTTCGACTTGCAACTACAGGAAGAACAAAATGGCGCTGCTGCAGCTTAAGGATCGTTTACATTCATCTTTCCATTTTATTAGTAGAAGTGAGATCTCATATAAAGATTACCTTGACATTGGATGGATCACACCAGGTCTACTTATTGTCCTTGGTACTCAACTTCAAGAATATATGTGAGGTTATGAGTAGAATTGCTTCTACTTGAACAGGTTAATGCAAGGATCCTATGGTAGCGCTCTTCACTGCACACATACAGGTTTTAGGCCTAGAATTGTGTTATTTGAACAAACCTTTTTATCCATTTTGGAGAGCAGAGGTACATGGGGAAAGAATATGTATTGCTTTCCTCCAATGAAGCGCACATGGTTTTTCTGCATTGTGAAAACTTGGGTTAAAATTTAAAATTTTGTTACTCATCACAGGTGTACTTGTGATAATATTTGGTTATAGCTTCAAGCACACAATCTCATGTGTACAAAATCAGTGGTATTGCTTCCACATGACAGTGGCTGTAAAATTTTGCAATGAACCATCATGCTTTTTAATGGTTTTTTAACGAAATACCAGTCCACTAATTTCAACTTTTCTTAATGGCATCTCTTAACAATATTTTGAATAATTAACAGTAATTGATATACGACATCAAGAAAATTTGCTAACACTTGCTTGGAGCACAAACCGGGTACAGTAGAACTTTACGAGAGCGGTTCTTGATAAGTTTATTTCACGAAATTACTGACTAACATATTAACATATGGCAACAATACATCCACTGCATTATGTTAAGAGGTTTTGTTTTAGAAAAGGGTGTGCCCTACAACTAACTATTGTCTTATCTGATACATTTATAGTTTTGATAAGTTGTAAGGTACATTAGATGTGGTGGAAAAAGGGGAGTATGTGAAATCTTCACCTTCATTTATCAATTTATTTTCACAATGATGTATTGATTAAGGAACATGCTCATTAGTGAGATTTGTTTTGTAATAAACAACTGTGTCCACAAATTTTGTGTTGTTGAGAATTTAGTAGGACTAACAAAGTCACTTGCTACAAGTGGAGGTTGAGGTAATGGCTTGCATCAAGTCTACTACTTTTATCTATGACACACTTGATTAATACATCATAGATGTTGTAAATAATTTTAATGTGAAGAAATTAACTAAAACATTATATATACATATATATATATATATATATATATATATATATTAAATAATTTAGTAAGGTGTAATTAAATCTATAAATAAATAAATAAAAACATAAAATATCTTATTAAAAAATAAAGAAAAACAAATTGTAACATGGATGGTCTTTTCATAATTAATCCAAGATAATACCTATCAGTTATAACCACAAAATTTGTCACTATAACAATAGTGTCAACACATTTATAATTGTGAATTTTACTAAGATATGCACTAAGTTAAATACAACTTAATATAAGCACCTTTTAATAATTCTTTAACTTTGAAATTTATTTATTTTCAAATATTTCCTTGGGATAGCTAAAATATGTAATTTTAATATCAAAGTTATAATTTTCTAATAAGATTACATTTTAAAATGATAGCCTTTTAGAATATTATTGCTATATATATATATATATATATATATATATATTTTAACAAGAGTTTTACAAAACAATTATTAATTAAAAGTGAAAATTGAAATAAAAAAAGTCTCTTTGTAAAGTTCCAATCCACACAATTTTTGAAGCTAAAAACATGACAACCAAAAAACTCCTACCATTAAAGATGTGATTCAATTTCCAAAAGATCCAAGCAATTTATAATTTTTGTCATGGTATTACATTATTTTTTGTCAACTACTCAATAAAAAATATTTACATAACTTTTAATTTCTTTAAAGTTCTGTTTTGTATTTTTTTGGTTGAGACAATATATTTTTTAATTTGAATTTAAGTAAAATTAAGTTTTAAAATATTAGAGAGAGTTTCTAGTGAAGAGGTAAAGCCTCTGTGTACTTTGAATGAAGCTTTGAATATAAGGTGAATTTAAATTGGGATACCAAGATAGAAAAGCTAAAAATATAACATAGAAGGAAATATGAGACAAGAACCTTTTTGTAGAATAAGCTTAATTCCACATGTTTATCAGAAATTGAACATATTGAAAGCAATAATATACACAAGTAGCTCAAAAAGTTAGAAGCAACAACACACAAGAGAATCTACAGTGAACAAGAGAGCAATTCATAGTCTTTTTATTTCCAAAGAAAAAAAACTATATGGATGTATAAAACCAAAAAAATAATAATTGTGAGGACTCTAGGAGCCTCTTTGCTACAAGAGGATCTTTAAAGCTTCAACACTCATAGCAAAATAAAATCACAAAAATATAAAAATTACAAGGAATATGTTTGGTAAGGACTTTCTACAATAAGACACTCCAATCTAAGAAAATCTAGGTTAACAAATTAATGGAAGACAAACCCTCATCCTTACATATTTAAATGATAGCTATTTCAGAAAATTGTATTCATAAGTAGATGAGTCCACTCAAAGTGATGTTTTATCAAACTCAAAGTAATGTCTTTTGTTATATGGCACTATCCTAATATAGTATTATTAAATACTATAATAAATAATAAAATATAAAACTTACTTCTTCCTTCTAAATAGTATTTACTCATTGAAGTAATTGTAAATACAATTGTATTATTTACTTGTTTGGCCATTATACAATTTTAAAAGTCGTATTGATACCAGAATCACCATCGTTCATGTTTCCATATTATAAAATAGACAAAATTGGAAAAAAAAAAAAAGAAGCCTAAAAAAAATTCTATCTATTGTTATTTGAATTTTTCTAATACTTAATACAAGTTTGAATAAAAAATTATAATATAAATCTGAGAGCCCCTAACATGTGCTAATTTAAACCTTCAATCATTTTATTGAATTAGTATACATAATTATTATCAAAGCCCAAGGCAATCAAATTGGCAAACGAAAAGAAATGTCATCCAGCATTCAACCATGAAAATCCTAGGGTTCACATTTGTGTCGATTTACTAAAAAGCAAGTATAAATTTTCGCTGAGCAGGGTGTCGGAAAGATTCATCACTGAAGCTCAGAATTCACCAACACTCCCCGATTATATATATAAATATATATTAATAAATAAATCAAAAACCCACACCGTAGGAATTAAAATCGGGTGAGCCGCAATGATCTGGATGTTAATCTCTTCCCCCCAAGTAAACCTTGACGCTGTACCATGCTCTTGTAATCCAAATATATCTTCAACCAATTCGTTTGATTCTTGTGTTCCCTCACATTGCAGTGTATCTTTGTACATGGCTTCTCACCTGTTACTGCTGCTGCATTGGGATCTTGTTCCACAGCAGGCTCCATTTTGTCCGATTCGTCGTCTTGTTCCGCTTCGTTGTCGCAACTATCCTTCACATCTGTGGGTTTAACCACCACAGCATCCCCTTCAACACCTCTGCGCTCCAGATCCGCTACTAATTTCCGAAGAGCTAAGTCGGTGTCATCCTTATTCTCAAACAGAATCTCGGTTACCTCGGCAGGGGTGATACATACAGACTGTTCATGTAGAAATCTTTCTATCTGCTCAAACAACGGGTCACTCGACACTGATAAATAGTTCGAGGCGAGAACTTTGAAGATTTCGAAGTTGCAGAACGACATGTGGATGTGCATGTCCATGCGACCTGGTCTCAGCAAGGCCGGATCCAACTTCTCGATGTGGTTTGTGGTGAAGATTATTATGCGCTCGTTCCCGCAGCAGGACCACAGCCCGTCGGTGAAATTTAAAAGCCCCGAGAGGGTAACTCTGCTGCCAGGAGATGATGTCGTTTGTTTGGATGATGTTGACTTCAGTTTTCCTGCTGGTTTTTCGAAGCGTGATCCTGTTAGGTCTAGTGAGCAATCTACGTCTTCTATGACAATTATTGACTTGCTCGTTGTGTTTGTTAGCAGAGCCTTGAGCATGCTGTTATCGTATACCTGGTTGCAATGATGCAGATGTATGTTAGTTGCTTGAGCGTAATGTTGTCACACACCTTGTTTGAATCGTACCACAACATAATTAGTGGCACTGGAACAAATACATACCTGTGTGAGCTCGAGGTCGTAAATGTTGTAGTGCAGGAGATTCGCCATAGCCGCAATCAAAGAGCTCTTGCCTGTGCCCGGAGGACCATACAAGAGATATCCTCTCTTCCACGCTCGTCCTACTCTCTTGAAATAAGCTTCTCCCTCCATGTATGCTATGATGTCCGTCATGAGGCGGTCCTTGGATTCAGGATCCATAGCCAATGTGTCGAACGTCGAAGGATGTTGAAATGTATGCGATTTCCAACGCTCGTGGCTGCAGCTGTAAAGGTACAGGTCGGTGAGCTGCAGCTTGTACTCTTTGGCGCTGCGTGAAACGTAGTCCATATAACGGGACATGACGAAGACTTTGTCTGTTTTCAGCATCTTCAAGGTGTACTTGTTCTCCTCTCTTTCACCTCCATTCGAACCTTTCATTTTCTCAGTGGTGAAAGTCCACGTCACTTTCACACCCTCGTAATGTTCGGACACAGTCTCACCTCCTGTCTCAAGCAAAACAGCAAACAAATAGTATAATGAACAGCCGAGACTCTTTTTGAACTTGCTGGAATCATGAACTGGACATTAGGGATTTTCATTCACGGGCGAGGTCTGTGACTGAAATCCGCACCTGCTAGCGTGTAGTTGATTTTCTTCGCAGATTCCTCCTGTGAAAGATACAAATCGTCAGCGTCCTTGATGAGCTGTTTAGATCGCAGGTGCATCTCCACTTGGCGGTAGAGATGGTTAGTGCGCCCCCTGCCATCTAATTCGTGGAAGTGAAATCGGCAGTAAGGGTCTGTACTCCACAGCTTCTTGATCAATTTGTGCATCCAAAGTTTCATGAAATGCTTCAGTTCCTGAGGCAGAAAGCCGCAGACAATCGTCGCCATCCCCATGAGGGACCATACGTACGTCACACCAGACATCATCGCGAGGTTGTCCTGCTACACTTCTCCTGAGGCTACAATTGCCAATTTCTGCGGACCTCGGCAACCGCTGGAACTACAGCAAGCGAGCAACTGTTAACGGACTGCTCATTGTTAGCAGAACCATGTCCGCCTCGAATTATCGAATCAGGCGCTGTGAATGATCATTGATGAGAATCTAACAGCTTACGGAAGTTAAATTTGCTAGCTACGACTAATCCCTCGAACAAACAAAACACAGCTCCCGCTCTGTACTACCAAAATAAACGACCTCATTACCTCAACTTAAAACACGGCACTCGCATAAGAATGTCCGGAGCGCTGAAAGAATGACGTCTCAATCACATCTCTCTGCACCCGAGCGAAGATCACTACAGGGAGCTACTACAACCAAGAAACAAAGCATCTAAAAAATTGGCAATTCCAGCAACTTTTCTGCCCGGTCTATCAACAGAAAACTCCCGACCTTCTCCTGCCACAATCCTGCACCGTGATGACAGCAGTTCCTGACCAACACCGATTCTCAAATCCCCCGGTGTTCTTTTGCGGTGCAGCAGTGGAATTTTATCGTGTTATTCCTTTCTTCACATCGAAGAGAGAGCTGGCTTCGTTCACCGCATCGTTGGCCAGTTCAACGCCAAGTTTACTGTATCAACAACAGCATCTGCATCTGTAAGGAATGGTCCCTGTCTTCTTGTGCGTGATTATTGTGACTCGTAAATCCTTCCCTTGTCTTACCTTGCTTTGCTTTGCCTTGCCTTGCCTTGCCTTGCCTTACCTTGCCTTTCTTGTCTGTACACACAGTGCGTCACCTGTCGGAGCCTACTTACTACCTCCGAACCTTCACAACTTCATACTCCTCATTATTCATACTTTCATACGTATTCCCCTTTTGTTGTATCATTATACAGAAATGAATTTCACACGAACACGACCTCAAACTGTCTGTATTTCTGTGTGTCTTTGTGTGTGGTAGTATCCATTGCACCCAAACCAATGCTATGAGAGCTTAATTCAGTGGTGTTTTATGCACCATCGTGGATTAGATTTCGGTGCCATCGTGGATTAGATTGCAGCCTCGAGTTTCGAACCACGGCTTCTTCCTTTTATTGTTCTTTCATACCATTTTATATCATTATATATTGTGGCATATTGGTGGTTTGTTGATTTCTGTGATCTGTCAGCGGAGCTAACAAGCATTTGATGAATGTATCTTTAAGAAGAAAAAGAGAGTGGAATTTTGTTGAATTATACTGGTTGAACAGAATTGTGATGAAATGTTTGGTTGTGATTTATATAGTAAATGGACAAGTGAAGCTATTTTTTTAGAAAATATTATAAATCTGAAGTACAATATGATTATTCTTCGAATTTTTGTGATTACTAAATGCATAGAAATGAATTTCAGTGGTTATATGAACGAATTCATGACATCAACGAATTTTGCACATGGCTCACACGGACGCTTGATTAAAATTTGTAACTTTATTGGGATACATGTGGTGGGATGGTATTCTGTTTCGAATTTTAATGTACATAATAAATGGGTGGAATACGTCCAATTAATAAATAAATTAAAAGGTTCATTTGACCATCAGAACAAGAGAGATCAAATTTGTTCAACTAATCCCCCAACAAAGACTTTTTATCCACATGAAGTAAATAGTGGGGAAGGTGGGGGAGGAGGTTGGTCATCCACCCACCCAGCCATTCATCTATTCATTCATTCATGCCTTCTTTCCAACACTCAATATTGGTATGGAATAAAATGAAATAAAATAAGCATTGGCTACCTCAACTTTGTCATCCTTCTGACATGAGGGGGGGGGGGGGGGGGGCAGCTCCAACTCCTACTTGTGTAGCTGGGCTTGCTCATCATGCTTGATGTTCCCACACTACCAAGCTAGCCCTAAATATCCACACAGCTAGCTTCACCCTGCCCTTTGTTACCTTAATAATCTCCATCTCCTAAACAATTAAATAACAAACATATGTAAATATGTTGTGCCTATCAAAATATTACTTACATTATTATACACGGTTACTCATTGTAATATCAATCATTTAAATCAGTATTTAACCTAAATACATGGTTCAAGTAGTAAATAATTTATTACTTTTCAAATGGGAATTATTGGACTCCTACCTAGTTGCTAAGTAACACACAAATTATTAGACAAGAAGAAATGCGACAACATAGAGAATTATTTTAAATGGTCAACATTAAATCCAAGATGGAAAATTCATAACCATTTACTAAACACCCACAATACATCCATCCTGTACATCGCTCGAAATTCATCCATGCGATAGTTTTCGTCGACGAAGGTCGGACTCAAGCAGAGGAGCAGTTAGTTCGGAGACTTGGATGGAGGTTTGAATTTCAGGGGTTTAGGGTTTAAGGATCACTCAACAGCTTCCTTGACCAGATTTCGGGTTTTAGAATGGCAGGAGTTTCTATCTCGGAGTGCAAGGAATACCTTGTTGCAGCTTTCCGAGCTGATAATTTGTGCAGATTGGCATCCTTAGGTGTGTCGCTGGTTTCTTTGTGCGTCCTTCGTTCAGGGTTTTCATTTTTGATTTCTCGCGAACGCATATGTTCTTTCTGGGATTAAGTGCAGTAGTGGCTTTTATTCACCACTTTGTCATGATCAATCCGACGATTCGACGGTAATTGTAGATTGCGGAGAGGAGTTTCGGAGCTGGTTGAGCGCGTAAGACCTGCGAGCGCACCTCCGTCACGAAATCATGATGCTGCGGAGGCGTGGAGTGAGCTCAATAGTGAGAGCCGTAGATGCGTCGTGGCGCTGGAGATGCGCACAGATTCAGTCGTTTCAAAGTATTGAATCTTCCAATACAGCTTCTGATGAACGTGCTTTACAACGCCACATTCATGGGAGGAGTGTCTCGAATTTCTCTACAGTTGGAGAGCCTTGTCTGATAGCTGCTCCAGAGGTACCGTCCGTGTGGCGAACATTCCTTGCCAGTGGTCAGGTTTTCCAAGAAGAAGTGGTAGTGGGGGAAGTGAAGGTGAGTTTTGAGACCGGGAAGCTAGCCCGGTTTGCAGCAGGGGCTGTCGTGGTAAGAGTTGGCGAGACGAAAGTGCTGGTTACAGTGGTGGCCGACCACAAGCTGGATGCAGGCAAGGACTTTCTGTCCTTACAGGTGGAATACCGCGAGAAGCAATATGCTCAAGGGAAAATTTCGGCCACATTTATGCGGCGTGAAGGCGCGCCTAAAGAAAGAGAACTTCTGTGTGGCCGCCTTATAGACAGGTCGGTTCGACCACTTTTTCCTCGGAGTTTTTTCTATGATTCTCAGATTATAGCCAATGTGCTATGCTCGGACGGTGAGCAGGATCCTGATGTCCTTGCTGTTAATGCAGCCTCAGCAGCCCTTATGCTCTCAGATATTCCCTGGAAAGGTCCAATTGGTTGCGTGCGGATTGGTAGGGTGAAGGGGAAGTTCATCGTTAACCCCAACATGGATGAGTTGAGTGTGAGTGACTTGAATCTGGTATATGCATGCACGACAGAGAAAACGGTGATGATCGAGACGCAGGCTCGTGAGATCACAAATCAGGATTACATAGCTGCTCTACATCTGGCACATGCCGAAACTACTAAGTTGATCCCTCCGCAGCTGGAATTGGCTGCTAAAGTGGCAGTGCATAAGCGGCCTCTGCCAGTGCTTAATGTTCCACCTGAAGTGTTAGAGAAGGTCAGGTCTCTGGCTGAGGTTGCTATCGAGCCTGTGATGGGCAATCCTCTATTTGGCAAATTTGAGCGTTGTCAAACTCTAGGCAAGATAGAAGAGGATGTGAGGAATGTATTAGTTGCTGAAAGCGACGAAGTATCCGTAAAGCTTTTGCCCTATGCATTTGATGCAGTGAAAAAGGAGGTGATGCGGCGAAACATCTTCGACAAAGGCATAAGGGTGGATGGGCGAGGCCTTAATCAGGTGCGTGAATTGCAGTGCGATGCTGGGACGTACCCGTCCCTCCATGGCTCCTCGTTATTCTCCAGGGGTAACACTCAGGTTCTGTGCACAGTCACCATGGGTACACCTGACGATGCCCAACGTTTAGACTCTCTTGTCGGAGTCGACCGGAAGAGATTTATGGTTCATTATAGTTTCCCTCCATTTTCCATCAATGAGGTAGGGCGTACAGTTGGTCTAAACCGACGAGAAGTTGGGCATGGTACACTGGCAGAGAAGGCATTGGTTGCGTTGCTTCCTCCAGAAGAGGATTTCCCTTACAGTGTTCGTGTCACCTCAGAGTGTTTGGCATCAGATGGGTCATCTTCCATGGCTACGGTTTGTGGTGGTAGTCTGGCATTGATGGATGCAGGTATTCATTTACGTTCACATGTTGGTGCTGTCTCGGTAGGGCTGGTGAGCGTCAGTGATCCAGCAACGGGGCGTGTAACCGACTACCGAATTCTTACTGATATCTTAGGGTTAGAAGATCACCTTGGTGATATGGATTTCAAAATAGCTGGAACCAAGAAAGGTGTCACAGCCGTCCAGCTTGATATAAAACCTGCGGGCATCCCATTGCACATTCTGTGTGAGGCGCTGGAGCCTGCATTAGTCGGCCTCAGGGCTCAAACATTAAGAATATCCAGGTATCTAGGAATGCTCGTCTTACTGTGCTAGTCGTTGTCACATTGTGCCTTTCATTAACACTTCCTCATTCCTGGTTCTTCGCCTTCTAAGTGTTCTTCTGCGCAGAGGGCCGTGATTTGAGAATTGTACTGAGTTTGGTATTTGAAGGATAAATTATTGGTGGTAATGGTGGTACAGATGTTAATATGAATGTGATTTGTGACTTACTACTTGCACGTTTTGTTCATGTTTGCACATCATTACCGAATCATCCCATGGATGTGTCTTAACGTGATTTTGTGCCTGGAACAGAGAGTTACTGATGCACGGATAAGTGTATCGGGAGATGGAGTAGTGACAATTTTTGCCAGGGATCAGGCTTCGTTTGACCAGGCAAAGCAAATGGTTGAAGCATCAGTAGGGAAGGAAGTGGAAGTGAGAGGCACCTATTTAGCTCGAGTAGTTGCGATCAAGGACTTTGGAGCATTTATGGAACTCAATGGAGGTTATCAGGGCCTGCTTCATATCTCAGAAATTGCACATGAGCGTATCGAACGTATATCTGATTATCTTGTCATTGGGCAAGAGCTTTCTGTTGTCTGTATCGGCCGTGATCTTCGTGGCAATCTGAAGCTGTCGCGGAAAATGACTTTACCGCCCCCTATGCCAGGAGCTACCCAATTACCAGTCCCTTTAGTCACATCCCCAAGTGCACACGTTTCTAAATTTAAGCAGAATTTGACCTAGTCATGGTGTCCTCTTATTGTGGATGCTATATCATTTCGAAGGCTCAATTGACCGGATTCGAACACTTCGACTTTCTGGTCTGGGGATTTAAATCGTGATATGTGTTGTGAGCATCCCCATACAAGCGTGTCACCTGCATTCCGGAGGGACTTGAATTTTTTTTCTGGCTACATTTTAGGGTTCCAAAAGCGCACTTCAACTATGTGGGTTCTGCAATCAACTATATCCAGTGATCAAAGTTGCAAGCTTATTTCGAATGACGTCCATCTAAAGGCAAGTGTGATCTCAGATAGGTTCACAGCGATTAAATTTAGAAATGTAAATTTACTGGTCAGTGCCGTTCTGTTGTTATGATCTACACATTGGAGGACGATTATTGGAGCACTTTCATGAGCATCCAGTTAGTCCGGGCTACGCATTCCCATGTTGGAGCTTAAGACCTATGACGAGTCCGAGTTTGAGTACTCTGTTGCGGATGACGGAAACCTTGTAATGCTCAGACTGGGCACGCAGCTTGGCGATCGACGGAGTCTTTCTGGAGTTCTCGACTTGGTGTGAAGGGATTGTCAAACTGAGTCTTACCGCTGGGAAAAAATAGCTGCAATAGGTATCATTCTACGCTAAAAGCTTGTTGCTGCAATTCATGATCTAATTTTCGCAATGGCTAAACTAAGTATTCAATATTGATTCTCGAGCCTGGTTTTAATGTTAGGAAATTTATTTTTAGTACATATTGACTCATACACGTAGACAAACTTATCAAGCTAGCTTCATAAAAGTTGCTTTCGTTGAAGACTACGAGTTTCTCATTGTCTGGTGAGCAGACATTTTCGTCGTAATTCGTGAAACATGTCAGCTATTATTCCATCGTGTCGGTGGTAAGGATGATAGTGCAATGAAGTTGTCTATCATTCGATCACGCATATCGAAACATAAGTCCTATCATATTTAGAATTGAACATTTATCTTAAACAATTTTTTATGTAAAGGTAAAATTTTAGTAAAAGAATATAATAGTTTTGTAGAATTATAAGCTGTAATCATGCCCATATCTATATAAATGTTTTTGGATAATGAGTTCCTTTGTATTCAAAGAGCAAACATTTTTGGTTTTGGCAGAAGACAAGGTGAAACAAAGATTCATTTATTGGCGATAAATAACCAACACAATAGAGGTATTTCAAACAGACTTGAATTCAAATTCTTTTGTTGAATAATCATATATGTTGCATCATGAACTTAAGACAATCTATTAGAATCCCAACCAAATTGCTATATAATTTTTTTAATACAAGTGTATCACTATGACATTTGGTAAAAATTGTCAAACCATAAATATTACCAATATTACTTGAGTTGAATTAATAGAGTTTGTTTTGGTATGAAAAGATAAGAATATTACATGCATCTAAAGTACACTAAATGATCAACATGTATTCGTGTAGTAATAAAGCAAATTAAGAAACAAATAAATAAATAAACTAAATTCTGATCAGGTGATATGAAGCAATTTCACCAAAGATTACAAAACTTATTATTAATCAGAATTTTTCTTTTACAAACAAATGCAACACAACATTAACTGTTCATCATTGTTAATAAAGTTTAGTTGTGTATTTATAAAATCAAATGAATATCTAGTATATATGAACAGCATAAATAGCTGAAAATTATAATTAAGGTGCATAAAAAGATATAATAAAAGATAAGTATATATATATATATATATAAAGATATATTTGTTGTATATTTGAATGTCACGGTAGGTTCATACTTTGTCAATAATGACATAATAAAGATTGAAAACTAAAAACCTATTCTAAGATTCAAGAATTATATAGAATAATGAATTTTAATTATTTGATGAAATAGTTCATGTGGTTTTAAGATGTTTTACTTATATATAACCTCATAATTTACATGAAAATTAATTATGCATAGGAAATAAAAATAAGAATTATTATAAATGATTTAAATATATATATATATATATATATATATATATATGATTAGAGAGTTGTTAATGCTATATCTCCAATTGATATTGCTACACCTTATATGATCTCTTTGTAGATAATTAGATATTGATATGCTTCTTTCTTTTGAATATATATATATATATATATATATATATATTACTTAAAGAAAAGATAGTGGTTGAAAGATAGATAATAAATATTTTATGAAAAAACAAATTTCATGCCATTTTTTGAAAAAAACACAATTCTTGCCTTGAAAACTATTTAATTCAAATCACTTATTTAATTTTCTATTATTATATATACTATATATAATTTAATTATTTCAAGTTTTTAAAAATATAAGAAATATTTTTATTTATTTATTTTATTTTTTGGGTCAATATTAGAATTAAATATTGGACTACCAAATGAACCCTAAGCATAGAAGTGTGCATTTTTAGTCAATTAAAGTCTTGTAGAGGTCATGTAGGGTATAGCAATAATTAAGGATATATTGTTAATAATTTTCTAAATTTAATGTAATGATCTTTTGTGCCATCTTATAATAATATCTTTATTCTTTCAAATTTTATTATTTAGCCAAGAAAAATAATTATTGCTTCTTATGTAATTAAAAAATAAAAATATATTTTTTTTAGTATCTATGTTAAAAATATAAAATTTTACTTAAATTTTTAGTTGTATTTTAGATTTGATTAGATTTTATTAATATATTATAAACTTTGTAATAATTTTAAAATAAAATATATGATTTTTCTGAAATATTTTTGAAGTTTCTATAGTATTTAATCAACTAAATTCTTTTTTTTGTATTATTCTTGATCCATGTCCAACTTTTCTATCATAAATATATAATTGTGTATAATTATATTCAAATCTTATTTTAATAGAAATACATCAATTTGATGTGAATTCTTTCACAATATGAAAAAAAAAAATCAAAATCAAAACCTTTATGAATTATTATGTCAATTTTACTTTAACAAATATAAATGCATGAGTTGTATTAAATTCTCAAGTACATTGTTAGATTTTTATTTTTTATTGTTATTATTGTTATTATTATTATTATTTTATCAATAGATCTTAGATAATAGAAGGTAAACCTTTCAATCTAAATGTATTGTATGATGGTGGCATATCAAGGCAATTTTTTATGTGTAAGTTCTACAAAAATTTAATTTGCAAATGATACTGAATGTGAAGAATAAATCTATTGCTTAAAAAGTATACTTCATTTAGATTTCTATATTTTGAGAAAAGTTTATAGATACATATGCTATTTTTTTCCCATTAAACAATGATGTGTTTTGCAACTCATCAAATCCAAATTGCAATTTTCTACTTTTATCTATATATATATATAATTTTATCTTATTCAACATTATAATAATTAATTTTTACTTTTGAACTCATAAATCTTTAAATATATATATATATATATATTTTCACTTTGATATTATTAAGTAATCAATGCATTAACTATATTAGTATTTTGTGGACATTCTAGGTGTGATTTTAATATAGAAATTTTAAATGTATTTATTAAAAAGAGTTTATCTCCTCTGCATAACAAGTTCAATTTGAAGTATAATCTTTATAGGTATAGTTTATTATAAAATATATTTAAAAATTAAAATAATTATATGAAAGACAATGCTTCTTTCCAAGAAATCTTGTTTAGAATTATAATAAATTTGTATCCATTTAATGATGTCAAATCATTCACAATTATACAAATGATTTTGGATAATTTTTATTTTAAAGTCAAGATAGTGATTTTAAATTTTTTTTTTAAATTTATTTTGATGGTAAAAAATTGCTAATAACCAATCATTTTGATTCTTTTTGTAGCATCAATTAAATATATTAGCTAGATGTTACTTATAGTTTCTTTAAAAATAATTAGATATTTTCAAATATTCAAACAAGTTAATATCATCAAGGTCGTAGACATAAATGAAATAAATTTGTTGATTATTACTTAAAATACTTAAAATATTTTTAAAAATATATTATTATTTATATTTATTTTATAATTGATGATAGATTATTTGAATTGAGATATAATTTTATTATTATTAATATTAGAATTATAGTATTTAATATTAATAATATAAATTTAAAAAAATATTAATTAAGATAGTACAATAGATGCATGATTAATGTTTTATCACCAAAACATTGTAATATTTAAAATCTAATATATGTATTTTTATAAAAATATGCTAAGTGTTACTTAGATTTTTGAGGTTATTGATAAGAATGGAGAAAGACCTTGTAAGTCTAGACACAACATACATGATGATTGAAAAAAAAATAAGGCTCAATTAATTACCTAGTCAGAATCACATAGCCTTGAGCCAAATACTATCTAACTTGTGGTGCTACTGCTTGGAACCTCCTAAATATTGTGCTAATTCTTGACTATCATGTTGTGCTTTTCCCAACCTTTAAATATCCCTCAACCTTACTATGTCCTTGTTAATTTTGGCAACCTTGTAATTTAGCATCTTATCTCTTTGCTTATTACTCTTTTGATGTTGTGCTGTCATAGTACCTTGGCAGGTAACATTTGCGAGCAAGTATAAGCTCCTTGAATGGTTAACACTATTGCAAGCAGATATAGTTACTGAAGGTCGATAGTACCTTCATTTAGAAGAAATTTTTAATGCATAAATTTTATAAAAAAAACTCTAGTTATATTAGATGCTAAATTCAGATAATTAATTAATTAATTAATTAATATAATCTTATTTATGAAGATTTATTATTATATACAAAAAAATTAATATAGTGATAAATTATTTTTTATACATAAATCAACAATATTTTTTGTAATTTATCAAATTTATAGTATAATTACAAAATATATATATTATATTACATCTTATAAAAAAATTATTATATTATGTATATATATATATATATATATATATGATTTTACATAATTTATATTCCTAATTAATATTTCTTGCTAAGTTGATAATATTTGCAAGAATTAAAGTTGTTTCTAAATCATGAACCTATAACTTTGATTTTTTCATAATAAATAAATAAATAAATAAATAAATAAAACTACAATTCAAATGAAGAATATAATAAAAATTTGAAGAAAAAATATAATTATATTATTTGCAGCATAGAATGTTGTAAATGGAATGGCTTATATTACAAATATCTCAATATACATAAAAAAATAAAAATAAAATAGAAAAGTAGGTGCTATCCAAACAAAAGCTAGCTATTATACTCTATCATTGTATTCTATCATTATCTATAATGATAAAAATTTATAGGAATCCAAGAATCAAGTAAAATGTACATGAGTTTCTAATAGAAGTCTACAAAATTTTAACTCCAAAACAATATATATGCTTATGTGCAAATAAAGACACACAACATAATCAATGTTCTACTATGAAACAACCATCTACTATTTGTAGCAAAAAATGTTGCAAGCACTAGAAACGCCATAATTAATAATTTGATCAATATATTTAATGATGGTTCCAAAGTATCCTTTAATGGATCTTTGAATATATCTCCTATCACAACTACCTTATATGCATTTGATTTCTTTGGCATTAGACTCTTTGCATGCTCTAAAGCACTTGCCTCAATTGAACTTCTTTGTATTGTTCCACATTCCTGTCATATTTAATGTTCATATTGTGATTTGTCATATTTCCATATACATTGTCATCTCATCAACTCTCCTTTCTTTGCCGCCTTAACATTTTGTACAAAACCAATCTATTTCACATCCACTCAAATGCAGTTCCAATACCAAAACACTTATCAAAGTGTCTATGCCAAATAATGTCCCTACAATCAATGGCATAATCATTATCAATACGCTTAGCAAAACCACCTCTTTTATTGATAATAATTTCATATTAGTAATAAAATCTTGTTTAAATTATAAAATTTTCATCTACTATGGTTATAAGTTAATTATAATACTCCTATACATGTATATATAAGTATAAAGATATATATTATTATTTAATTCTATTTAATATTTAAAATTACTTAATTTTTGACATATTTTAATTCACTATCACATGTTCATAATAATTTTGTTATTTTATAATCTTTCTATAGTTTATTCTTTTGAATGCTATGCCTTATCTAATATAGGAATCAATATTACAATTTTTACCATGAGCATATAAAAGATCTTTTAGGTGATTTTTATAAATTATTAAACAAACCAAATAATCTTTTAAATTGAACATATTATTGGCAATGTTAATATCTTATTTTGTACAAAAACTTCATCCCAAATTTAACTCCATAAAAACTTGATTCAATTATCATTTAATTCCTTTGTTAACAAAAACATTTGTTTATTTCTTTCAACATTTACCCTTGTGTGATTTATATGATGCATGTATAAATATATTTATGTATATACACATTCACCAAGATTGTTATTTTTATAATACTTAGAATATATAAATATAAATATATATATATATATATATATATATTTTCCAACTTAATCCTAATATCATTTAATCTGTTATGTTTGGTAGAGATGAAGAATTTAGAAACAAAGGAATTTAAGTATCTAAATTTCTAAATACTAATTTCTTTTAAATTATAATTTAGAGTGGCTCATTCTCATAAAAGTTCTCATTTTTCTTGTTCTCATTCATTTTCTACTTGAATCATTCTAGGCATGTGAAACTTAGAAAATGATGACAGAAGAAGGCAATACGTAATTTTTTCTATAACAATCCTTCATGATCTGTATTCTCATGTGTACATTCCTTCATGCTACGGTAGGTGCAAATGGAGTTGTGAATGACTGCATTCAGTTAATTTTTATGTTAGGATTTCACATATTTGTACAGTTACATGTGTAATCTAGTTTTATCACCGATTACTTCTTTATTATACAAAAATGTAGATGAAACTGTTTCACGGGAAGTTATTCCACACTAGGGAATATGAAGGAGCATTCAAATTTTCTCTGGCCGTTTTTGTTTGCCTTTTCGGTTGTTCAAAGTCATTTTACAAAGTCGTATCAGAAATATATAGTAGTGTGTTGGATATAGACTAGGTTTTCAGTTCCAGCAATTAAAATAAGAAAAAATGGTTCGACTTACCTTGCAAAGTAGTAATAAGTAAAAAGGCGAAGCTATCACATCCAAACTAGACCTGCCACACGACACACACACATGCCTCAAATGCTTCAAGTAGAAAATGGGGATTTGCACCAAAAGACAAAATTTGTAGAACATACCACTCAAAGACTCGGTAATCAGGTTAATGATATGCTTCAAGTTAGGAATGGCAAAACAACCATACGATTATAGAAGTGGATATTCAATAACAACGATGAATAGTAGAGGGTGTGAAAGTGGCCTTTGAAAACACACTTAACTAAGACACACTTTCAAAGTGGGTCAGTCTTGGTTAAGTAGGTTTCCACCACGCAAATAGACAAAATTTAGTGAATCTTTAGATATAAAGATGTGCGAGGCTCAGCTTACCAAAGAGCGAGAAGACTCCAAGAGATATGTCGTCTTCAAGACATGCGCTTCATAAAACTGGATTAAAAACCTCTTACCTTGAGAACTCAAAGACCCAACAGAGCAGGAAAACCGCTTGATGGAATGATTCAGTTGATGGTAGGCCGTGGGATGCAGCAAGCTCCTCTGATTTCCGATTCCTCGAAAGGTATACATGCAGGCACTGCCCGGACATCATTATTATTCGAATTGAAAACGAGAAATTTGAGTACAAAACATGGCTTATGAGGCAACTGTAGTATCCACAAGTACCATCCAGAATGACCTACTGAAACACTTACACCACGGTTGATATTTACTCAGATATTTGGAGTTTCCATAATTCAACTTCAACAAACAAAAAGCTCTCATTAAACTTAAGAAATAAAAGCATACCAATACTTCTGCTGCAATACAAGATAATAGCATCTTAAGAACTTCCCATTATAGCATAGTATTAGTAACGACCCTACAATGAAATCATATGCAAGCCGGATACAAAGAACCAAACTGAATTTTCTCCTCACAACGGAAAGTCCTAATTAACAAGGTCCTAATTGACACTTCACACCTGACATAATTCCAAACAGTATGGCAGAAGCGTCCTCAGAGAATCAACTTCGAAATTCTTGAGCAAGTTGAAACACCTACCTAGCTGCCAGTATCAATGACGGGGCATTAGCCCGTTCCCCCTCAATATTCGTTTAACATTAAAACAAGAGAACCTAAGGATTTAGTTGTATTATCATAATGTTATTCCACAACTGTAAGAGACCCAGGTCGGAGGCGGCCTTAAGTTATCAACCAAAAGTGATAATACCTGAGCATAAGATGTGAGCTAAAAATGCATGGTTCAGGTTTTCTGCAACTTAGCAACCCTCATCTTTGATACTTCAATGAAGTAAGTAATTAACAGGCGGTGTTCAACTTACAAAACCGATCATGTTTTATAACGACTCCCAACTTGGGTTACAAAATTACCAAAATTAACACCAGGTTGCTAAACCAACTTTCATAATGAAATTTAGACCCTTACATTAATTCTGCAACTCACTAGAATTATCTAAACGCCTTTCAAGCAACAAATTCGGTGGCCGCGACTCATTAGACCACATTCAGGGCTCTTCAACACATGCACCTAACAACCCATTGCAACGCATTCCTCCAGTTTGGATAGCTTTACTATGATCCACTACTTTTTCAACTACCGGCTACACAGCTTTTCATCTCTTGAACTCCTTAGTAAAAAAGCACCAATTTTCTTCAGTCTCCTCAAAGTCATGTGGTTTGCTGTTCCTTTCCGATATTTCCATCTTGTAGAGGTGAGTAATTTAAACTCCGTTCCTTGCTTCATTTTCCAGCGTTGATTAACAACTAAAGCATACAGCAACCTGCAACAATCCCCTCTCCCGTTCCATTACCTGGTCGGAAGTCAGAACAGCCGCTAGACACCTTCAGCTCCGATATGGATCCCTCAAGTCCTCGGCCCCATGGGCAAAATGACAGCGTTCTCCAAACGTACACGTACCCTTCGAAAAATTCTCGCACAACTTAGTCTTGAAATTGTGAGAGACAGCACCAGCTGGGGGACGAGCTGGAACGCTGTCACGATGTATTAGCACGTGCCTCACCATTTGACTAGCTTGCTTGATCTGTTCGAAAGACCCCTCCATTTCCACGTTCCTCAACCCCGCGTCAGTCTCATGCTCCTTAATCGAGAGCTTGGCACCAGTGAGCCGACAAATCTGCTTGGCATTAATACCACCCTTGCCTATGATAGCTCCAGCCAAGGATGCCTCAATGCTAATCTTCGCCGTAGACGAGGCCCCAAAAGAGTTCGCGGCAGCCATGCCAGGAGGAGTGGGTTCCCGATAAGATCCAAACCGACTTGCTTCTCTGTCACGACCACCAGGCCCCCCGCTTCCAAACCTCCCACCATTAGTACCATACATTCCTGATCCACTACCACCACGATAAGATGCAGACGAAGGACCTTGGTCTCTTGAGTAATCTTGCCGCGCGTAAGAATCCCTCTCTACAGAAGGTGTATTAAAATTATTGCTCGACTTTCGAAGCTCCTTCTCTCCATGCGCGAAGTGACATTTATCAGAAAAGCGGCAGCCCTCAGGTGTATCAAACCGATTACAAAGTCGAGTCTTAAAACCACCGAGGTTGGCACCCTGGTCATCTAGTCCTACCCCGCCGACAACCTTGCGTGCGCCACCGCCACCCATACTACTAATGTTGGCAAGAGGGGCAAGGCCGCCCATGCTTTGCACACCCCCAGGTACAAAATGTAGAAAGTGACAGCCTTCACCGTATGGACAACCAGATGTGCTGCAAAACCACCAAACACCAAGATGTATTTCAGAGAGAAGACACGATAATCAAAAAAGAAGCAATGGACGTTATTGACTCAGACCTCCGACCAATTTGGTATGCATGATGCATCAAACTTTACAGCGAGAGCACAAAAGGTCGAATTGTCAAACTCTAGCGTTTTGGTACAAAATTTCGACCGCTTTTATAAAATTTGGGAGGTAAACTTCAAAAACGAAATTCAAACCACAAAAAACCTCACTCAAAAAAAACCAAACTGAACAAAACAAGAGGGGTGGTGGGCGAAGGGACAAAAAAAATACATATATAGTTGGAACAATGCCGTGTCGGTGTCTCAGTGTTTTGAGGAAGGGAGTTAATTGGCAAAATCCTTCTCCGGTACGTTTAGGTTCAACCATTCATAATTAAAACTCAAGCTTAAAATCACATTTACCTGAAAAACTTAGTGCAAGGCTTAGTCCTGTTGCCTGAGCTGCCATCCTTGTTGTCTACATTATCCAATACAATGATATTATTAGTATTACTCACGTGATTTACAGGAACATGGTAGGTTTTGTTCGTTTTTCGTGAGACCGCGCACAGAGGGGAAGAGGTCTTCGCGCTACTCATACGCTACGCATGGGCACCGCAATGACCTGAACAATGGGAACAAGGCAGAACGGGGGACTTACAATCATCTCCTCCGCCATGCCCACTGTTTGTTCCATTACTGCCATTTAGTGGTCCTGACTCTGGTCGCGGCCTTTTACGAGGCGGTCCGTACGGATCCATATCCAGGTTGGAAGCTAAAACCCTATTAGAAAAATCACACATCAAGTCAGCAGCAAAAATTACAGTCACCATGCAATATCACAGCGCTGCAAATGGAGCATGAAAGCATAAGCAGCTGTATCCACTTCCAACGGAGAAACCACGCACAATGCCCCACAAAGCCGCAAAAAAGAAATACTCCATCAGTTTGAAAAGCAAAAAGAACCTCACTGCTCTTACAAACCGAGGCGCGCGAACCCAACTCCCAACCGCAACGCAGGTGGCAAATACAATAGCTCACGACGCCTTTCCTCGAAAGAATGCTAACACAGAACCCAAGCCGGCAGCGCGGGGCCAAAGACAAAGCTTTATTATTAAGAAATAAAACTATAAAAAAAGACGTCAAACCCAAATTAAAAATATATTATCTATACCCACAAAGCAGACCTAAACTAGAGCTGAATAGCGTACACACTCTCGTCTCGCACCCCCGTTCCCTCCAACCTACACACTACGTCAGAAAATAAAATAAACCCCAAACACAAACACACCCACACACACACACTCGCGCACCACACCGAGGTAGAAACAACGATGGGTAGCGAGCGGGGGAGGAAGGCGAAGGGGGAGTGTTAGGGCGTAGAGCAGCGACAACACTTGACTACAACTACGTTGCAAACACCCCAGCCACCCACGCACGCGCACACATGCACACACCAGCACTGCAGCGATTAGGCGGGAACGGCGATGGCGGGATGCGTTAGGGCAGCCACGCAAACACAGAGAGAGAGAGAGAGAGAGAGAGAGAGATCCTTCCTTCTTCCTTGCTTTCTTTCTTTCTTTCTGCTGAACGATTCTTCTTCTAATCATGGAAACTGGCCTCAGCAGCGACAGAGTAGTCAGTCAGTCCAGTTCAGTCCGTCTTCGTAGCCAGCAGTAGCAGCAGTAATAGCAGTAGCAGTAGTGGCATGGAAAGATGACATGAAGTGGCGTGGCTGGTCTCTCCCTCTCTCTCCCTTCAGTCTGGCTGGCTTCGCTGGCTGGCCCTGCTGCAACCCCCCTCCCCCCTTTTCCTCGGGACTTGTGGGTTCCCTCCCTCGCTTCCTTTCGCTTCCTGCACCCCCCCACCCCCCACCCCCCCTCCCCCCTTTGTTGTGTTGTGTTGTGCTTGCTGGGGCTGTGGCTTGGATGGGGGGTGCGTTGCCGCTTCTCTCTCCTCCTTCCCCTCCCCCCTGCACCCCCTTCACCGCCTTGGTGGGCTCGCCCTTCCCTTCTGGATGAACGACAACAGCAGCAGGGCAGGGCATGGGCTTGCTTCTTCATCTGTTGTGTTCCATCCATCCATCCATCCATCCATCCATCCATCCATCCATCCATCCATTGGAACTATATATCCTCTTCGTTCGTTTTTTCGTTCGTTCGTTGCCCTCGTGGCAGAGAGCGTCTGCCACGTCGGAATTTTATCTGCTCCTGTGGTGCTGTTAGAGGATTAGTTTAAGGCTAACATATCCCCTCAATCAGACTTGACCATGGTCAATTTTCTTCATGTACTTGTGAATGAATGAATGAATGAATGAATTTTGGGCAATTTTAATCTTTATTTATTTTTGCTGTTGTTGTTATGTGTCTACTTTTGTCCACATCCTCTCACACAAATTAGAACTTAGGATTTGAGTGAAGCAAGGGGCAATAGAGCCTTGAACAATGTTGAGGGAGGGCTAAGACAAATGGTTAAGGAGAAGCAATTAAGCAATACAAAGAAGAGTCAAAACATAATAATAGAGTGAAGAGTCTCTCATACACAAACACAAGTGGTTGGATTCAATCCTAGCTACTGGTTGTTGTCATCATAATCTACTAACACCATCTTTCCTAATTCTTGACTTTGATGTCTGATGTCACATTATTTGTATTAATCTTAGTTCTACTTAACCAATGGTAACAAGTTGGGTAGAATCAAAACTTGTACTATGGATGGATAAAATTCCATAGTAAAAGTCAAGTTTTGAAGGATGTCCTATAGAACTAGTTGTTGGACGGCCTTCTTTTTTTTGTTTTGTTTTGTTTTTGCATTGGATTTGTTAGGCATGAGTAAAAAAGCCTTAGGATAATATATTTTGTATTACGTATTTTGGTACCTTCTTATCTTTGAATTATCCAAGTTTAATTTATTCTTCTATCTCTTTGTATTTTTTCCTCGTTTCTTTTCATATCATTTTACACAATCTTCTTTCTTAATATATGAGATGCATGCTTTTTTCATCCATCCAAAGGTTATATATTTGTCCATGTATCCATCTTTAGATTGTATTGCAATTTTTGACATATCAATCACTTGCTTTGACATTTTATTTTCTAAACAAAAGAACATATTTTTTTTTACACCTCAATAACTTATTTTAACGTGTTATTTTCTATAAAATTGTACCATGCTGATAATGTTGTATACATAATAAATAAATATTTTTTGTTTCAAAATCCAAATATTAATATTTTGTTGTCATTAGTGATTTTATTTGGTTTTATGTAAAATATTATAAAATATACATGCAATATGAATGTTTTATTTATTTAATTATTTATTATATGCCAAATTGTAAGAATTATTTGTTTCTGCAAACACATTATTTTGTTGCTTTAGAATGATTAATATAAAACCCATCATCATAAATTTTCTTTCAAACATAGCAGTTTATAAGATTTTCATTGTCTTTGATTTGAGTCGTTATTTAGGTTTGTATTTGTGTTCTTACTTATTATATAACTCTCCTTCAAACAAAACGAACCCCGTTTCAACTCTTCAGTGCCAATACACACCACATCGCATTAACAAAACACACATCCTCGAATACTGCTACAACGTCTTTAAAAGCAATACCATACTAAGAGTAACGGGGTTTGAACAAGAACCAAGAAAAAGTTTTTACATAAATCTGATTAATGTAGAAAAGAATCCTTACATATCAATGACACACGAACAAATCAACGCATTTTTAACATGCCCTAACACTATTGATAACTTTCATGGTTGGATAAAGTATTAAACAGCTTGTCAAATTGTGCATGCATTCCTGTAGAGATCGATTTCATGCCCAAGGTAGTTGTTCCCATTAAACCTGGAGTGGGTTATACTGCAGTCAAAAGATTGGCTATGGACTACTAGTTGTTGATAATAACAAGAGTCACGAACCTCGAGTAAAACTCAAGTTTTTCAATCGCCAAGTTTGCTACATATGCATTAGCGTTGTGCATACTTCCACAAGAAATTGACTTTGTTAAAAAATACAAAAAAGAGGAGGGAAAAAAAAAAAAAAACTACACTAAATGTATGGTATGATGTGGCAAAAAATTGCAATCAAGAGTACAAGATACAAGTTCTTTCTAATCCTTTAAGACTGGAGCATCCCCCAAAGGCTGAAGCAAGTTCTAACGCTCCTGCATGGTGCGAGAAGTTACAGACAACCTCGTAAGTGATGTGCGTGAATGGGAGAAAGTGTTCTGTAATAGTTATCTGAACGAGGAACAAAACAATTCTGATTTTTCAGAGGAACTAAAACTATGGTGGCCCAAAAATCTCTGGCCATTTGAGGAGAGCTTTCTCCGCAGCATCTCGTCTAGCTAGTTTCTGTGATTTCCCAATTCCAGTGGACATGCGAAGCCCTTTCACGTAAACCCTAATCCTGCACAATTCGTTTGGGGTATTCTGATTGTCGATTCCTATCAACCTGAAATAAGATCCACGACTCAGAACTGAACACAATAAATTGCTAGATCTTTCTGTAGAAGGAACATCAAATTATAAAAAAATTCCATGCTAGCCTGAAAATGCCAGAGAATGACACATATAAACATTAATTGGTTTGAGTAATTAAAAAACGAAACGCAGGTAAAAGGATTTTAGGTGGCACTCACTTGTAATCAGGCTTCTCCTGCAACGTCAGTACACATCGTTCGTGAAGCAAGGCCACCGGATTCCTTTTTGGTTCGGCGAGAAGTAAGAGGGGTAACAAACGGGTCTCAACAAACTTTAGGGCACTTTCCAGTCCCTGCCAAATGTAAGTTTAAGAATGAGATGTATGATCTCGAAGCTGTTGTATCTATCACACACAAAAAAGGGACATAAAGTTTCTTTCGGTCGCTCCACAAGCAAAATACCTTTTCCACGTAGAGGCCACCAATGTAAGCTTCAAGTGTGTCTGCACAGGTTTTCATCTGTATTGATAAGCATACAGAATCAGTAATTCGTTAATGGTTCTAAGTTATAGCTTCGTATGAGATAAAAAAAAAGACAGATATTGACTCGGTTTCAGCACAACGAACTCACCTGCAATTCCAAAAGAGTAGTTGCTGAAGGCTTTTTAGATTGAGAAAAGGGAGGATCACACAATACAAGCTCACGCAGATCCAACAACGTGCACCAAACGCGAGCCAAATTGCTATTACATACCTGCAAAGGCCAAATCCAGCCCACAAACGGCATCCAATCACATGGCAAATTATTCAAGCAGCTGTTAACTTCTACCTTTCGTGCTCAACGGTTATCATTGTTGTTGTGCTACAAGTTTTCATGATTAGTAGCGTCCTATCGTTTCGGCATCTTCCAAAACATTGGCCATCACGAAACTAAGCCACCAACTGGCAACAGTATTTTAATAAAGTTCAAGCTACAATTTTTTTAGTTAGGTGTATAATTACCAGCTGTGACCTTCGCTCCGTTATTAAACCCTGCATCACACGACAATGAATCAAGTTCCTTTCTAAGGGTCCACTTTCGGCAGACGAAGACAAATGATTCCCATAAGCCCTGCAACGCAGACTACAAGCATATGAAAGGGTCAACTAGAAAAATAAAGAAATGAAAAAGCTGAGCAGGAAAATATAGGAAATAGACATACAGTGGACAACAAAGGGTTTCGGCGAATAAGGTGGAGCGAAGCAGCAAGATTCAAGACAGTGTCCCCTACTAGAGCCAGCTGCAATCGAGCCTGCAATTGGAAGCAGCAGCTCGGTACGTTAAATGGAGAAACCACAAGGCAATTTAACGATCGTAGAAGACCAGGGAGCAGATTAGCGTGGAAGTCTTATATGATACTATTTGAAGGTCAGACTCAATACAGCTCAACATCAATAACCCCAACTGTGCAAACATTTGACAACTGCTTAAACCGTCCACTGAATCAAAAGAAGGAAAGCCTAAATCTCATGTTCTATGTTCACTATCCACCATGAAACAGGGAGGAGGACAACATGAAAGATTAGTCTCTGAACCTCTCCGTGTGCGTCAGAAAAACTCATCAAGTTGTCGTCATCCATAGTCTCTGACCTTTGCCACGACATAAGAGGCTTCCTCAGCTTATTCTCCTTCATAGATTGAGGCATTTTTGACAAATAGTAGCTCTTATGAACCTGACCCATACTAGAAAGAGAAACGGCGGACCATCAGGACCTCATTGCCACAAGCCAAGAGGAGAGCACATCAAAGCACCATTAAATATTGAACTGGCAATTCAAAGGGACAGGTATAGGTGGGGACCAGAATTCGTAGGAGTAGCTCACGAGAATGGATGCTAGAGCCAAGCTTCTCAGATAATATCTGTTGAAACAACCATAAAAACATTTAGCTAAACTCCGCTACAAATTCCAAACTATAGTATCACTTAGAACCTGCGCAAGCAAAATGACATGCAAAATACCCTAAACCTTAGACAAAGACAATAAGAACAGACTGGACATTCTTTTTGGTCTTCTATTGTATGCCCTAATCACAGATTCAATCAATGCAAAGAAATGCAAAATCGAGGGATTATGTTGGACCTTCAGTTGTAGATTGAAGTTCTTGGGAAGGGGTAGAACTTCGTGTATCAAATCTGGAATCCGCCACCAACGCTCAGGTTCACATGGCAATTGGAGCCACTCTCCCAAAGGGTCCATATTATCGCCTGTTGTAGTTGAATCAGACGGACCAACTTGTCCGTTCGAAAGCGCACCTTGGCTGTTATAGACGAGCTGTCTGCTAAGAAAACTCATGTCGGTAGATTCTGCTCCCATTTCTTCTTCTGTTACATCACTCAAAACCCTAAGCGATTCCACATAGTTGAATCCATCAAACCTCCAGTACACATCCTCTTTTACATCAAATTCCAAGGAACCTGTTCTCGCCTCCACATTCATGTCCTGTTCCTTTTGGCAATTCAGGTTGCCACTTCCTTGAGCATATACACCTTTAGACTCCGAAACATTGTCATTCACCTCCACAGCGAGTCCTCTGTCTTGGATTGAGCCCGGCTCAAAATCTGTTGCAGGAAAACCACGACAGGAGTCATATATAAATAGATTTCGCCTAAAACCAAACGTCACCATTCAATTAAACACATGCAATCGTATCAATTCTAAAAGACTCGCTCCAATTCCCAACTACAGAGCAAAATATACCATCAGACGCCTGCGAATTTCTCGAGACCCGGCGCAAACTAGTGCAGAACCCGCTCCGCCGAGCCCTCCCAGAGACGAAAGCAGAAGGGGATTCATAAACCCTTTCTGCGACCAGGAACATCGCTCCGGACATCCCCAACCCCCGTCGTGACATAAAACAATGGCTGCATTCTGTAGAGGCACGGGCCGTGACATGGAGCCAAGCGGGGTTAAATGTTGCTCCAATCCCTCCCCCACATCCCTGAATCATGATGCCACCGTTATCAAACTACCCACAAATGATCTTAGACTCAAAATCATCATAGAAAACTTCTTCCTTCTCGGAACATCGGTAATATGAGTCAGTCCAGCGCTAGTTGCTATTATTCTAAGGGGATGGCAAGCTGACACTCCCTCGACATGCTGTGCAAGCCCACACCACCAAGGAGAGCAACTTTTCGACTTCGATCGGATCCGTCCCAGTAACGACGTTTTTTGAAAGGGGTTTTCGGCGAACAAATTCTGTTTGGCTGCGTCGAAGAATCTCATTAGTCACACTCACCTCTATATCTAAATTTGTGACCTCCTCTCAGTGCCAGTTGCCTTTTTAAAGTGTTATTTTTCATGAAATTAGGAACCAACCACGTACCAGCCCTAAAGACTTTTGTTTTGAGCACTTATTGCATTTTACGAGCCATAAGTACAGCTTCTCTGACCGAGTGAGTTAAAAAGAAACATAAGTAATCTTTTGGCAGTTTAGAGGCTGCAGAACGAGTGAAGCGCACAACAATCATTTTCGTTTCTTTTGTGTACCAATCGGAATAGGGAAATGACTACTATGATGCTGAAAACTGATCCATTTGTTTCCACTTCGAAATGTAACCGAAAATGGTGAAGGTAGAAGAACAGACAACAAACGAAGGACAATCCAGCAGGTGCTTAAACAACTTGCATGAGTGAAGGAGGTCTAACAGCATACAAGTCGACGGCAAGAAATCCACGAATTGACACATCAGATTTGAAGCTGTAGGCAAACAATCGAAATTTCAGAAATAGTTTCTACATGGGGTCATGAGATAAACCAAAAGTAATGCAGTGGGACACCATTCGATTACGTAAAATACTGATTATTCAGTGGTTTCCTTTGAAAATCTATCCCTTCCCTGATTTGAATACCAATGTCATGTAGGCATGAAGCCAACATGAAGCCAAGGGTTGGTATCACGAATTTGGATTAAAATTGGAATGGCCTCTGTACAATAGACATGCTCATGTGCCGTCTGACTATCTTACAGCCATCAAAATTGACAACCCCAAAGTATCACAGCAGCAAAAGCAAACCTACACTTCCAAAACAGTGTCTGAACCTTGGAAGGACATTCCCTTCCGTTACTCTGCGTTGGGCGACTCTACGCACTCTGATGGTCAACCTGGGGGTAGTCTCATGATTGAGGAGGCGAAGAGCTTATCCAGGAGGAAGGAACTGGTACAGGCGCGTCCTGTGCTTGAGAATAGCCAAGAGGCGGCATCGCACATCTAGTGCAGGCACAATCTCAACAAGCTCTGCTTCAGGATCCATTAATCTCGTCAAGGGGCCGCATAATGTTGGAGTGTGCTCTAAATCCCGGAAGTCAACATGGGGTAGAAATCGGGGATACTCGGGATCGCCAGCTGGCGGTAGCTGAAGCTGACACTGTGTGAGAGGAGTGATACCGCAATATGTAGCTCCAGACGCTATCAAGTCGACGGACTGTCCTGGTTTTACGTCCAAACTCGCATAAGACGCTTCTGCTCCCATGATCTCTCCGTTGCTCGATATACTCTGGTATTTTTCCTTTTTCTTTTTCTTCTTTTCTTTCTTCTCTTCTTTCATTTTACTCAAATTAATTCTCAGGATCAATTTTCTAGGTTCGTCTTCATTTGAATCAGCCATACAGCTCGCTGCACTGGGTGAATCTGACGTCCCTACAGTCAACTGCTTGTCTGCACACACATTGGTACCTGGTTCATCTGTTTGAGCAGGACGACCTGCAAGCTCGTTCATTGCATCCACTACCCATTGAGTGGTTTTGACCTTTTGGTAAACCCACACAGCACCCACAATTAGCACAGTATTTTGCACCACATGGTAGGGTTTTGATTGAATCGCTTTTCATCTCCGTGAAAGTCAGAATATGGGAAAAGATTCAATTTATGATAAATAAGTGTACGATCTGTTTATCGTAAATTGTAGATTGACTTCCTGTGCATATTCGATACTTTTCTTCCTATTGACGAGTGGCGCAGTTAATACAGATCAAGGAAATGCTTGCTCTCCTTGAAACTAACATACTCTAAAACCAAATTGGGCCTTTGTAGTGCGTCTTCATATAAGCATACTACAGACCATACCACAGACGAATAAAAAAGAGAGGTCCTTGAGCCAATTGTTTGCTTACCAAACGTTTCGAGCGTGTCGTCCCAACTACTACTTTCGAGCTATACGAGTTCTCCAGTTTTTGCTTGGGAGTAATTCCGTTCTCACGACACCTGCAACCAAGTCCACTTGAGAGTTTAGTACAGTTTTAAGGATGCAACTGTGAAGTCCATCAATGGCAACAGCTGCAAGACTCTGCCAATCGACATAGTGCTACCTAATAGAGTTCTTAAGCAGTCAATACCAGCTTAAAATGGCATCAAATTCATCTTAAAAACATGGAGACCTCTAGATGAATCATCGAGATCACTGCAAACGCCTGGACTCACCAAGTTTGTAACAAGACAAAATTGTAGAACAAATCCTTCCAAAAAAAAAGACACTCACTTTGTGCACCCTCAAGAAGTTAAGAGTGCATACAATCGGATGAAAACTATTAGAAGGATGGAAAGACTACCACACAATGCTACAAGGAACAATAGTAACTTCGTCTCGCAAAAGCAAAATTATAAAATACTATTAAATGTCTCTCATGGTTCATCATATATGCTGTCAGAGAATTTCGACATCGCCCATTTGAAGTACAACCAAAATAATGTGAATTATGTAACTTCAAAACAAATTTCGCGTCGTTTTAGTATTGTGTTCTTCTATGTTCGCTTACTGTGTGATTTATGATTCTCTCCTGCACAAATAAACTCGAGATTGGGCCGACTCGTAAAGATGATAATGGCTTCATTAAATTTCAACTAATCCTAATCTCATTAACTAAGCTTCACCAGCGTAAAACCGAGTGTGTACCTGTCAAATTGTGCACCACTGTGCTGATTATGAATCGGCTCCTTTTTGGGAATAATTGCACGTGGAGAAGGAAAGCTAGCAGGAGAATCGGATCCAAACATGCTATGCCCTGTGGCACCACCCCTCATCTTCGCCAGATAATTGTGTAAGAATCCACCTCTATGTGATATATCCACATCTTGGCCGCTCAGAAACGGATCCGGACCACCGATGGGCACGTTAACCATCTGTGGAACTGAAATATTATGCACCTGCACTGTACCTGCTACATTATGCAACAACCCTGACACACAGAAATTGAACGTCCAGATTAATTCGCCGAACGAAATCAAGCATAATCCAGTCACCTAAACGTTGTAGCGCCAAGTTTAATTCACGCACAATAAATTGTTCAAATGATCACAGTATTTCCTAAATTGTTGTTGCAATAAGAATAGGCGAAAAGACATAAAGGATATTTACCCTTGAAGGAAGAATTTGATGGCCATCCCGGCAAAGACTTCTGCAATAAAGAAGTTCCAGGAAAAGCCATAATATTCAGCTTTGTCAGTTCTTTTTTCTCACAGCTGCTCAGAGCCTGAAAACCAAAAGCTCCTGTCCATGTTTCCATTAGTTCCGGAACTGCAGGGAGCACCAGTGACTTCACACCAATACTATGCAGCATCTGCACAGGACAAGCAACAAGCAACATAAAATCAGACCAACGAAGGATAAATAATGGATATTCGAGATCAGATGAAGAAAGCAAGAGTTTGAGACCAAAGTACAGAGACTAAGGAATAAAAGCCGAAGGCTCTTCCACGTCACCAAAAAGAATCTATTACCTGTTCAATAGCGTACATGAGACGGCGGCACATTCCCTGTCTACGATATCGATAACGAGTTCCAATCAATGGCATCTCCGCTAACTCATTTCCGTGCACTCTGAGATTTGAAGGGTTGCGTTAGAGAAAGTAGCCAAACAACGTAGCAAAGCTAAACAAATGGTTGCTTCTTGAATGGATATTTGTTAATCAACAGTGTTGATAGAGCCTTCTGTTGGTCAGTGATAAAAACACAAATGGAGTGAAGACATAACTTATCAAGAGGTCAAGAACATGGGTAGAAGTCAATAAAGCAAGAACACTGTCGTATAACCCTAGACAAGTAAATCAATATGAACTCTAAACTACCTGATAGTTGCAACCGACACAAGCTCATCTTCGTTCTCGAGAATCATGGTGTAGAATCCTCGATAGTTCAGTCGACTAACATCCGACCTGCTTAGAAAACCATAATAGTTGTCGAGAAATCGGTTAAAGGGAAAAAAAAAGTTTTCAGGAAGAAGATTTAAGACTGCAACAAATTTCACTTCTAAACTTCTACCATAGGAATTTGATCTTAATACTTATTTAAAAAGATGTTCGCATTGCAAGGCTCAAGTAAATCTAACTGTAGAGTCAACAATAGAAACGAAAACCGAATAAAAGAGGAGCTATTTAACATTATTTTAAAAATTAAAATAGGTGAAAATACTCGAGAATACAAATTTTAGACAAACAATCATCACAAAAGACACAACTGTTTACTTAAAGGAAAATAAATACAAGAAGCTTACCCCCGGTTATACAGGACATGAGAAACTAGATCAATGTTAGTGCGCGGATCGATCATAGGCTTGAAGCATTCTTGCATCACGCTTAGAGCCATGGAAAGCTTGATATTATGCTCAATCAATAGCTCTTTATCCCCGTCAGACTTAGGGTCCGAATCTTCAGCTTGAGATCTCAACAATGTCCATGTAAATCCTCTACTCAAGAGATTGGTAACACCAACGAGGCCTCGCAAGCTCTGATAAATCTGCTCAATACCACATCCCACTGATTACAATGCACTCAACACCTTTGCACCTGGTGGAATTCAAAAGGAGAATCTTATTAAAATCTCAACTTCATGATAACCCATAACTTAGTATTGCAGATTCACATCAATCCCGAAACTGAGCTTACTACTATCTGCAACAAATCCTACACTGCTCAAGACAGTGCGATGCAGAAGTGTGTCATCATAGGTATCCACCGTCTTCATTACAGGCTATCATGAATAGCCAAAGAGCCAATAAAAATTACTACCTGTGTGCATGATTCGCTGCAGAACCAGCTTCCTTCTGGACAGTGATCCATTTTAGGAAAACCCCTTTCATACAAACACTTCACGTGAACTGCACCAGAATACAAGCACCCAGGTGGAGGGATCAAAACTACAATGCTGTATCGCCAACTAGCTTTACTTGAGAAAAGCGACGAGAACATAAAATCCTTCTCCCTGAATGTCAACTAACAAGAAAGTTTACTTACGATGTTATGTGCAGGTACTACAGAATCTCCGGAATCAATAAGCTCTTAATGCAGGCACTACACTGTCCTCCAATAATACACTAGAAAGGACTGGAAACTAAATTCATAAGATTTATCTTGAACATTGTCTTTTTCTCGAAGTGAAAATCAGCTGAAGGATATAGACATATATAACCACGCTGTCAATAATACGTAAAAGTTTACATCACAAGCACCTTCCTAAAACCTTTGTTTGTGTTAAGTTCTTAACACAATTTAAGACAAGATTAACTAAAGATTCACAAATGGCAGATACACGTGCATAGGTGACAATCACCGTAACAATAAGCCCAATGCTTCCCAGTTCTTTCTGGCACTTACATTCACGTTCACACTGATCGCAGAAGAGGACTGTCAATTCGTTGAATGTGTTCTGATCACCGTTAAATTGGCTTCCATCACATATTGCACAACGACAATTGGGACAATACCATTCGTCCTTAGGAACCTCCTGATGGATGACATTCACACATAATATACACAAGTCGATCAAACTCAAAGGCTACCTTCCCGAACCTCTAAATCATAAGAAATGTTAACTAAAACTTCCAAGTTAGCACTACTGAATCGAAGAAAAAGCCTCTTATAGAAAAGCAATTACTAAAGCATTATCCAAGCGAACTGTAGCAATGAGTAATACATAATTTAATATAAAAAATGAAACCAAGAATTCATAAGAAATTTAGCGTCGACAGAAGGGAGTAATAAAAAGAATAAAGCACAAAAAAAGAAAAGCTGTCCCTACCAGGAGGTCCATGCAAGTCAGATGGAACGTAGATGGACAATGATCACAGCAGATGAGCGTTCCTCCATCGCCGCAAACTCCACATGTATCATCGCTCCCATCCCCCTCCACCTTCCCCTCTTCTTTCTCCGGCCTACGTCTTTTCCCTGAACCTGATTTGGAATGTACACTGGACCCCGTGAAGTCATTCTCCTTTTGAAAGACCTCCATCTGTAACTCTGTAAGAGACTTGCCGCCATCCACAAAAATGTTCTGACAAGGTCGATGCAATCTGCTGCCACAATGCTCTTCAAAATATGACAAAGTGAAAATGTCATTGCAACACCCACAAAGCACTCCTGCGTTCGTCACCCATCCATGCCCTAGATTCTTCTTCCCCTTGTGCAGGTAGAACAACTTCTGATCTTTCACTAGCGCCCCAGCTTCGATCAACCACGAAAGAATGTTCTTCCTCGCATTAACTCCACCTGTTGCACCCGTGCCGTCCTCCGAAAGCCCGTGGCTACTTGGAGCAGAGAGTAGCACTTCCATGCGACAACCTCCTCGATTCCAGTTCTTTTTCCCCGACTTCTCCTGAGTAGAAGGGGATTTGTACTGAGCCCAGCCTCGTTTGCTCCTGACGGGCTCCTTTGGTAAATAGGGTGTCCCTGTAACTCCCGCTGACTCTTCAGACACCGAGTTTCTACTTTTCTTACTTCTGCGTTCGGTATCACCAGACAGATGGCTACCTGAGATCCGTTTCTTGCAAGTCTTATCACTCCTCCCAAAATGCTGAAATTTGTCCCCAAAAACGTCTCCATTGTGTTCCAATAAACCACTTTCTCCTGCAATCTGTCGCCTTAGTAGGTTAGGGGTTGTGCAGAGTCCTGCATCACCGGGTATGATAAATCCTTGCGAAAACGGTGAACTAGTCAACAGCCCATTCATATACAGAGAGGAGCTTTTTTTATCGTCAAACACCATGTCTGTATTGCCGTCATCAAATCCTTCTTCTGTCACGTGCACACAGCAAGAATGCTCAATTTGTGACCTCTCTTCATGTAGCGTACACGTCGGATTCATGCTAGCGTTACTTCCTCCGATATCCATGCTGATCTGGTTAAGAAATCGTCGTCGTCCACCTACTACAGGGTCTGCAGACTCTACACAAACCTCGTGCGCCTCCTGAGGTTTCATTGAAAGCTTACAGTCGAGAACTTAAGAAAATCCACCTACATCCTAAAAGACAACGGTTAAAAACTCTTCCGTCATACTGTTCTGTCATAGAAAGGTGGCGATGCACCACCTTCCTCCTCCTGCCTGGCCTTGCAAGAGGGACCAGACACTTCTTCACGACTCTTTTCGCTGAAGCATTGATTAACCCAAAAGAATCACGATCGAATTTAACAGGTCGTTATCATATATGTTGTATTGCTCATCCTTAAGAAGAAAAGCTCCAACTCTGCAGGTTGCTTCACTGCTAGGAAACTCAAGTTTATAAAATGTCCTACTTATTTCCCGCTCCAAGAAGTTCTCTTCCTTCAAAGTGCAGTGTTCGAAACAGAAGATTAATCTTCATTTGAAAGCTTTTAATTCTACAATCCAGTCTCCTCATCGCATTCTTGCTGAATCCTCACATGCTCCATAGGAAAATCTTATACGATTCTCTCATCGAAATAGAATATCCTGAAATACACTGAATCTTCCGGGTATAGCGTTTTCTAACTAGATTCCCTCTCACCAAATTTCCTTTCAAAAGAGATCCACACACAAACCCCTGGTCCAGCTACAACCAGAGGAACGAGAGAGTGTCCCAGGTCGAGGTTGAAATCTCGATGAAATGTAACAATCTTTGAAGGAATGTCCTATCTCGGCTTTCCACAAAAAAAAATTAAAACCGCACTCCCTAACTCCTTTATGGACTGCAAAGAATTTAGGTTATTTCCTTTCTCTCACTCAGAGGCTCGCCATACTTCACAATCCCAGCGTTCCAGCATCGTCTTAACCACTATTGCCGCACACCACAAGCCGAGCAAGCTCTTTACAACAAGCTGCAACTGCACAGCAACACTTCTCTCAAAGTATTAGGGTATTGCGCTTCATGCAAAACCATCGCGAAAATTGTCCAATGTGAAACGAAAGAGAAAGAGGTCAACTGCTAGAAAAATCAAGTATTACCCTGTCGAAATCCTCGCCATAAATTCCGTCCACCTCGCTGAAACAGCCATTAACACAATGCTAACGTAAAAGGCAATTCACAAAGATTGTCGCAACAAGCGCTACAACTCACCTCCACAAGCGTCAGACTAACTATCCCATACTCTGTAACTGTTCTCTCCTCCAGTGTCTTTCACAACCTCTTCCTTGCGCGAAGTTCTAACACCTCAACATCAAAACCTGATTAATCTCGATGACAATCAAATCGTCGCTCTTTCTTTCCAGGGCTTGTTTCACAAAACACCAACCCTAATCCCCTCCAAACCCCAACTCAAACTCCTCTTCTCTCTCGTCCCTCCAAAATTTCTAAAAAATAACCCTGAATTAAAGCTTAATTCTCTCCCTGCTGCTTTGCATTCCAGCAAAACGAGCGAGAATCGATTCAAGACGCACTACACATCCTTCCAATTGCTTCATTCTTCGCCACAGCCTGCACACATATGCACAAGCAGTCTTCCTTCGTCTCCATCACAAGCTTGCTTCATAGACTCCTTCGTTATCTTTTACTTTCATGCCTCATCTTTCTGGATCCTTAGTTTTTAACACCCTATGCTTCAATGACTGCCTCTCTCTTTTCCTTCACTTCCTCTTCTTTTTCTGGCCTAAGTGCTGTTATAATTCTACTTCCTCCTGTTTCTGACGAAACATTTTCTTCTTTCTTTCATCCCTTATTTCTTTCCAAGTGCACTTTTTCGTTGGATGGAATTACGGATGACGTTTGAGATAAGAGACCCTGATGCAGCCTCTCATCCATTTTTTTTCCTTGCAACCTCTGATGATACCAATTGATTGCAGTGTGTTACTTCGTTGATGTCACACCCAAGTTTCACCAAAATTTCTGTGAAACTCCACAAAAGCATCAAGTTACATTAGGTGATGGTTATTTATCGTTCGCTTGTTTGTTATAAACCATTCATTTCGAACTAATCTTTTCACTTATGTAAACAATATTAAACATGAAGATCGTTCGTTCGTTAGTATCGTCGGCCAATTCATCAGTCCGTTGTCCAGTAACGACGTCAGATTTGGGAAGGTTGACGCTGAAGGTCGTGGCGTTCAAGGCTCTCGAGACTTCCCGGGTTTCTCAGCTCTTTGAACCGCTCACACGCCATTTCTTTGCGGGAAATCGCAGGCACCGCCGCATCCAGATTTCTTTTGACTACGATCCACCACTAGTTAGTCGAATTGGATCTACTGAGTACAATCTCACGGGCGGTCTTTGAAGATCTGCCTTCCTGTGCAGCAGATAATTGCGTCCTGTTTCACGTCCACGTCGTGTTTCATTCGTCAGTGGAATATGTGAGATCATGCCTATGAGCACAGCGGAAATAGTTTCCAGTCCTAGCCTAACGTTGTAGTTGTAATGCGGAAGGTGATTACACCATGTCATTACAATCCTACTACTTGTTTTCTCTCATTATTGCTCTTCTAGGCCATCAGAAACTCCTAGAATTCACTTGCACTTTACTCAGATACTTGCTCGCTGCTAGCAGCACCCTTCCAACCAAGGATTAGAATACAGGGATTGGCAATGAAAAATAAGTATCGATCCTTCTGAACAATTAGCACGAATTATTTGAAGAACTCCGTCTAAATGAAATTGTTTCCTTCCACTTCCCTTCAGGTCTTGTAGATATATTTTTTTTCAGTTTCTCCTGATGTCGTTTCAATGCAGTATCAAACGTTTAAGTTTTGGCTGCCAGTATGAGCTCCAGTATCATCAGCAAAACGAGTAGATAGAACCGCCGATGTTTCTCATTTAGATCTTTGAAGCACTACCAATGTCGAAATGGTGTAGTGGATTACCACCTCAGACAGGCCACAAGGAGGAGGAGAAAGGTGGAAGATCACACAGTTCGCTTGGCCGAAGGAAGGACAGAATATTTTTCGATGAGGCCATATCTTCGACTCTTAATTTGTCTGGGCTGAGTCCTGAAGAAAAATTCCATCCGGTGTGTACAAGCTCCAATGTTTTAAGTTCAATGTAGATCAATTAAGGAAAGAGTGTGTGTAACAATCTCAGTGACTACGTTAGATGCATTCGAAAATGCTCATGTTGCAATTGCAAGTTCTTTAGTTTAACACTAATCTGTATGTAGCAAAAAAATTGCTAAGGTTAAAATCGCCTTAAAAATTGTTCGTCGTCACACAAGGCGTCTGGTAGAAGAGGTTCATGACCCTAAGTTGTATCTTTTCTGTAGAGTCTAAGCTCTCTGAGCTGTGAGCATAATGCGTGTAGATTGTGCCAATAGCTCAGTCTTCATATGGTTTCAAGTTCATGCCAAAGGCGCTCTACAGAAGACATATGCAAAACAAGTTGAAAATGAACATGGCCACGTTGTAACCATCACTCAGCCCTACAATTGAATTTTGAACTGTGCTGCAGGTGATCAAGATCGGGCCAGGACTAGCTCCTTACACGTCTGAAGTTTCTTCCACACCCCATGATACTCCTTCAACACCCCATGATACTCCTACTCCATCTCCTCAACAGTCTTCTAAAGGGCCTCCCTCCACAACTAATGATACACCTTCCACTCCATCTCCTCCACTTTCCTATGAGGCGCCTCCACTAACACCTCCAGGTACACCTTCCTCTCAATCTCCAACACAGCGGTCCAAAGGGCCTACATCAACACCTCCTGGTACACCTTCCTCTCAATCTAAAGCGCCTATATCAACACCACCTGATATACCTTTCACTTCAATTCCACTATCGCCACCTCCTGCCATTCCCAGGACTCCCAGGGAGATGAGCAACACAGAAAAGGAAAAGAAGAAAAAGAAGAAGAAGAAAGAGAAGAGAAAGAAGAAGAAAAAGCCGCAACCTCCTCCACCAAAGCCGCGGTCGCCGTGTGTAAGTGAATGCGAAGAAGAGGTCGAAACGAAGCTGGGCGGAGGTGTGACAATGCCATCAATTTTCGCAATGTGCCATATTCCAGCAAGTCGTCAGGGTATATCGGAACCTGACACTTATCAAGTCTCGGAAGACCGTTCTGGTGTTGGATCATCTTCTTGGAGGGACGAAGACGACGTGCCAAACTTCCCCCCTGCCGTACCTAGCAGCTATATGCGTCTCAAAGGTATTGTAAGATCCTTCGGGAACAAAATTGATGCCAGAAATTTAGTCGAGGTTGGTCCTCACGGTTGGCATGCATCGAGTATCGCACCTTACGATCTCGGCGACACTGGTGACACGGTAACCGTGGACAGAGCTGGATGGCATGAAAAAGAGAAGTGATTGAAGTCCTAACCGGAATGGATCTTGATAGAAACAAAATCGAAGACAAAATCCAGACAGTGAGTCGCTGCAATGCGCGCAGACTAGAAAAAACGATTGCAACAACCAAAGGTTGACCGGGGGTGCTTTCATGCCAACAAATACTATTTTCAAGGTTGATCCATTCTCAACCCTCCCTGCTCATCTAGTACTCTCCATATGTACTTCAATTAAGTCTTTGTTTAATTTGAGAGGCATGGATAGGCAATATCTTATTGTGCCTAAATGATCGTAAATAATCGTTCTAAGCGACGCAACAAAGGGCGTGATTGGATGCAGTTGCAAGTGGTGCAAATGTCGAAGAACGAAAACTGATCTCAGTATCAGTTCGTCAGCCATTTGCGGGTGGCCTCACGAGGTACCTTTACTGATGAGAACGGGCGACAGAGGAAAGGGCACTATGCAACGTAAAACTGAGGACTCAAGTTGCTTGCACTGTAATTCCACGAGGTCCACTGTCCTATAGTTTCTTCTTCAATTCTTTTAAGGTAGATGATCCTCTTGTAACATGTCACTCACCTTTCTCAAAGCACTATTGTCACAGAAATAGCTGCATGATTGATTCGGTGGACTAAGCTTCTCAACATGGTACCCCAGGAGTGTGATCAAAGATGGCCTGCTCAACTTCCACTCCGTTGCTCTTTCAGGCGATCAATCTAATGGAACCTGAAGAAAATTCTAATTTTTTATTCGTAGTAATGTCGACGAATAATTCATTACAACAATATTAGTCCACAAATTTTGTATGTTGTGAATCTAGAAATAGATTTTATTTTATTTTTTTCAAATTTTCAAGTTCTGGATGACTGTTCTTCATTTTATACTGCGTTTTCTCTTCATCTTATAAATTTATTTAAAATTTTGTTTCACTACTATCATTACAATGTATTCTGTTTGGGTATTTTTGGTGTTTACATGCAAAATACTCACAAAGTTCAATTTACCATGTGGTTTTTAGTATTTTACAGTGAACTTAAGCTTAAAATCTAGTGAATGTTGTTGTTTTTCTTTTTTCTTTTTCTTTTTTTTAAATCTAATGTAGGAGAATTTCGTATTTAAAAACAAAAAGTCATTTGTAGGTTAAATGAACTCTATTTTCGCTACAAAAAATTGTTTATACAACCAAACGTATTGTTGATATCAAAAATTAAAATTTTTAAATATGAATTATTACATTCTAAGAGGATTGTGTCAGAAGATTCATATAAATTTACTTTTAATTGTGGGTTATCTTCGTGAGACATAGTAATTTCAATCGTACTATTTGAAATTACTATGATTTTTATGACAATTTTTTTTTTTTTTTTTTTTTTTTTTTTTTTACAATGCAGTGAATGTAATGGTTCATCCATTACTTTTATTAGTATTTAAAAATCGTGTTTAGTTGTGTAGACAATTGATACAGACCAAACATACTATTATACTATTTTTTTGGTATGAAAAGTTACGGAAATCATTTTAGATCTGGTATTGAATCAACCTTATTTTTAAAATAAAAAAGGGATGGGCAGATCAAATTTGAAGGTAGATTCAAGAATAACTTAGGGATTCAAAAGGAAATGTGCATATATATACACATCTTCAACATTTTTTAAGATGGAATTATCTCTTTGCACATATATACGTAGTAAATTCAAATGAATTTATGCAAATAAAAACAAATGTTTAAAACAAGATATTATATATATATATATATATAACTGAACTTTGCTTCTTACTTTTTTCCCCTTATAAACAAGGTATTATAATAGTTTGAAATACACTTGAATGAATTTCTATGTTTATGCATTTGAAAACAAACATCTACATGCGATTAAAGTTAGACTTTGTAAACTAGCTTTAGAATTACAGTTAGTTTTTTTAAACTTGAAATGTACATATATTAAAAAAAGCAAGTTCATGTAGATTTATTTCAAGAAAATATCACAAATTTAAAACATATATTCAATTTTTTTGTTAGATTCAAGAAATAAATATATAAATTAGGTTTTTTTTATTTTTTATTTTTAAAAAGTGTTAATGGAATCACTCAAAAGAACTACAATCCTGGGTATAAATGGATGAATTTGAATTTGGAAAATTGGCATTGATGTCTTAACAGTCCAAAGATATAAATAAAGTTGAGGTTGCAAGGAAAGGAAAGGTGAAGAAGGTATTAATTAATCAGACGAAGATCATTTCAATCATCATATAATTTATGAAGAAACCATTTAAAATTCAAGAATTGAAGTAATAGTGCTTTGAGATAAATCAGTAAAATCCTAACACGTCCATTCAATCATCGCGAGGTTATAAAAATTTGAAACATTAAACCTACAATCATATAGTTTTAAAAAAACACAATAGATTAGTATAAATCCGAGTTTTAAAAAATCAACATGTTTTCGTTTTTATTATTTATCTTTAGTTTATTGGGGATTTTTTTTTTTAAATTTAAAACTTACATTATTTCACAATTTAGAATACAACACTCCTAAAAAGACTACGTATAAAATAAACTATCTTCTCCACATGAGGGATTTTTCAACAGGAGTGAGCAACGCCGAAGACTCAAGTGGAGTAAGTTTATTTTTTACAACGGAAGATTATAACGGAAGATTATAACGGAAGATTATAACGGGAGAAGGTTTTTCTACTAAAAGTTAAAAATTAAAAACAACGTTTCGTTTTTACAACGGAAGATTATAACGGGAGTAGGTTCTGCCCGGGGCAGCGCCGCTCACCTTCCGTCCAATCGACGAGGAACGAAAAAGGCAGAGTAACGAACGATGGAGCCCGGGGGGAACGACAGAAGTGGACGAGCGATATTCGTTGTTGATCGGCGACGAAGCCCCAAATTCGTTGTGGCAATTCGGGTCGTCGTCGTTTGTTTTTTGTCGTGTGGAATTGCCCACTGTGGTGATCCCAATCTTTCAAGCTTCAGCGATGGCGGACGAGGATGCGGACGAGTATAAGGATCTCTTGAACTGGGCCGCATCTCGGGGCATCACAGATGCTCCTTTTGTGGGAGATAAGCCCACCAGCATTAGATCAACCCCTTCTCTGGGTTTCTCGATCCGAATTGCCACATTTCCAGATGCAGGCGGGTAAGTGAGCAAGCAGGTCATCGTGCAATGAGTTTGGTTGGAGGGTCATAGAAGGGTTGTTTTGGGGACTAATTCAAGGTACGCCTCGTTGAGGCAATGGAGAGAATGAGTCATACAGAGCACTGCCTACATTTCGCACCGGACGCTGGCTCTCCGTTGGGAAGTTGCGATGAGTTAGACGAGGAGGGTTCGTGAAACAACGAAGGAGGCTCTTACCCTTCGCTACGTGTGGTCATCTTGCTGCATCGCAGTTGGATTTTGCAGATTCTGCAGTGTAAATTTCTGGTGTTTGTAGTTCGGGCTCATCTGTTCCGCAAGTCTGCTGTGTGTCTGAGGTCCTGCATGTCTACAGCATTTTACGTGGGTTTTATTACAGTTTTCCTGAAGTTGAACATAGTATAGTGGGTTAAGGACTGTTAATCTTATGTTGTCTGCTGTGCAGGAGGGGGCTTGCGGCTGCACGAGATTTGAAGTTGGGCGAACTCATCTTGCGAGTTCCTGAGAAGGCTCTTATGAATGGAAGGAGCGCACGACTTGACGCTGAGCTTACAAGGGCGTTGGCTTTGTACCCTTCATTGTCGCATGTGCAGGTAAAGTTCACCATTGCGGAGACCTAGTCCCAGCTTTAAACCCTAAACCCCAAATCACACCTGCCCGAAATGCCCAAATTGAAGTTGTTCCGCGACAAAAATGTATTCACTGATCGTAGGGAAACAAATTATTTCACAATTTAGACAGGACCTTCCATGATTCTGATTGGGTGATGATACAAAATGGTGATAGTGGGCGTCACAAGGAATTAGACTACCCAACTCTACGTTTTGAACTTCCGCTCAGGTGTTATGCGTGCATCTTTTGAGGGAAATTGCAAAGGGTCGCACCAGTGAACGGTTCCCTTATTTGGTGCATCTCCCACGATATTATCACACAGCGAGCTTTTACAGCCCATTTGAAGCTCAGGCACTGCAGGTAGTTTTCTGCCTTGAAAGAATTTCAATGTTTTTAATCATGAATTCAAGCTAACTTGTCGCTGAGGCAGTTTGAATAATCGGTGATAATTCTTTGAGAATCTGACTCTCTCACAGGTAAAGGATGCGGTGTCTATGGCAGAGGGAGTTGTCCAGAATTCCCGTGAGGAATGGTTGCAGGCCCGCCCAGTGCTAGAGAAGCTGGGATTAGGTCGACGATTTTGTACACTTCAAGGATGGTTATGGGCATTTGCCACCGTACGTGAGTACCCGGGGTTCATTTCCGGTTCTGACATTAGCATATTTGTGAACTCTTTTGTGTTTGAAATTGCATGTCATCCGTCTAAGTTCCATCGAGTTCAGTGTGTAGGCATCTTTTTGTGGTCGACAGAAATGCGCTTTCAGAATCTTAATTATGTGTTCTAAGCATTTGATTATGCTAGTTATTAGTGTTGAGTGGCATTTGCAGATCTCATCACGCACTTTGTATGTCCCTTGGGATGAAGCTGGCACACTGTGTCCAGTCGGGGACTTCTTCAATTATGCATGTCCAGGTGTACCTTACAACCTCCCCCCTACTGCTCAAGATACTCAGATGAGGGAGGGGGACCTCATTTCTGAAGAAGATGTAGACACCTCAGGTGGCATTGAAATACGAGACAGGCTTCGAGATGGAGGGTTTGAGGATGAGAGGGGCGAATATTGTTTTTATGCTCGCCAAGATTATCAGGAGGGACAGCAGGTAAGCTCTGCCACACACAGCGCTGCCATACTTAAATACGTTACGTTTGTCGTGTGCAAGCCAAACCTCCACAACATAGTTCTGAATTAGACAGCCTTCTCAGAGGAGTGGCCCCATTGCTCCTCAGCGATGAGGACTGAAATGGGCTTAAATAGACTTAGTATTCATTTACGTGTGGGAGGTGGTTGGTTTTGCAGGTTCTGCTGTGCTATGGAACGTACACAAACCTTGAGCTTCTTGAGCACTATGGATTTCTACTACCTTTCAACCCCAATGACAAAGTTCACATAGAACTACCCACAGCCGATGAGTTCAATCCGGGCGCTGTTAGGCCTCCTCCAGAGGCAGACCTACTCATGAACCTCTTCATCGATTACGAGGGGAAGCCTTCATTCTCCTTGCTCTCAAACCTGCGTTTAAGAGCTGCCCCTGCTACCCTCCTAAAGAGCCGGCACCATTTAGCGCTTGCTGGTCAACAGATATCTCCAGAATCTGACAAAGCCGTATTTCGGTGGCTGAAATCGAAATGTGAGAAAATGCTAACAAGCTGTCCTACATCGTTCGATGTGGACGAGCTGCTGTTAGCTGTGATTGATTCTCATCCCTCCGTGGCGGAAATACAAAAGTTGTTGACTGTCTACAAAGAGGATTTCCTTCCATCTCCAACCGAGAATCTTGAACTGCTCAATGCTCCTGAACATTTGCAACCAGTTATCCTAAATGAACTGGAGAGCTTCATTGCTTCAGCTCCTCATACAGAAACGTCGTCTACACCGTCCTGGCCGTCAGATCTTCGACTTGAGAGGTGGAGACTTGCTATTCAGTGGCGATTAGGATATAAGAAAATAGTGAGACGCTCCATATCTCATTGCTCCCGAATGTTAGATTGTGATTGATGACGTGGTAAAGTCTTCTTACTCTTACTACCCATATATAACTTTGGATTTTGTGTTTGCAATCGTTTCATGAATTATTTTGCAAGTTATCCTGAATGAAACAGTGACAGTAAAATCATATCACAATGGAAGTTGAATATTATTTTTGCCTAGGAAATATATATGAATTGAGGTAAATGAAGATAAAGTAATGACAAATGCAATAACATTAATGCGATTCATCGTGATGGGGGTTGTTAAATGACAAAAATATGTGAGGACAAGTTTTGTAAAGAAAACTTGTGGCCCAATTTCCTGTAGAGGTGTAAACTATTAATAGAACTATCAATGTTTGTATAGTCTTGTTCCTCATCCCCTTCTGTGGTGCTTGTACAAAGATGCATTTTGAAAAATTGTTGTAGGAAGTCGACTAGAGAGTTTTCTTTTTCTCTGAAAAATAAGTTCTTTAGCAAGAAAGTCATGATATCACCTCTAATTAACCTCACTTTTCATTACTTAATCCTTGGTGGTATAACTTATCTAATGCTTTGTCTCATGTGAAACACAAGGCTATTTGAAAAGTGTTTAAGACAAAACTGTCGAATTACAAAAATTGAAAAAAGAAAATAATGAAAGAAGTAATTGTATGAGAAATATTAAAAATTAATGGTTTATGAAAATTTATTATGATGCTTCAACATTTTTGCATATATTTATATTATGATTAAAAATATAAATAATAAAAATCATAATTGATGATTAAAATCGAAATTTCTAATTAAGAATATATATATATATATATATATATATATATATATAGTAGAAAATATTAAATTGTTCAACCTATAATTAGACTTATAATAAAATCAAGCTTAAGCTACAAGAACATCCCAAATTATTGTATGTGCACTCATTTGTCTATATATACATCTAAGGTCTTTGATTGGCTAATCCAATTTTTTTTTCTTTGTTTCAGTACAAGTCATGCATCTTCTCTCTCTCTTCCTTGTCCCAATGTGGTTCTAATGTCGTGTTGTGGTTTGGCTACATGTGAAAATATTATGTTTATATATTTGATATACAATTTACTAAATAACATGGTAACAGCCATGTTTGTCGATTTTAATTGGTTGTAAAATGTAGTTAGATTATTATTTTAAAAAGAGATTGTTAAAAATACTATTAGAATTTACATAACTTTATTTTCTTTTGATAGTGGCTTTCAAGATTAATTTTGATTGATAGTAACTTTTAAATATTTAAAGTCATATTTGTTAGATATTGGTGACCCTTGAAGTTTTATTTTGTTTCTTTTGTTTAATATTTAGGACATATATTATGTAAATCTTATTAGAAAAAGGATTGGAGAGGGATCTTGGTAGCAAAAAGACAAGTTAGGGCATCTATATGGATGAATGGTGATGGATGATGAAAATCGCCATTTCTATTGGCCAAAAATCATACCCAATGGACTTCAAGGAGGCTGCCTGAGGCCTTATTAGGGATTAAGGTTATTCTTTTAAGAGCATTCGAACTTTAAAGGCTAGGGTCAGCAAGTTAAGGTTTTTGACTATGATTTTGGTGCAAATTTTGTGTGATTTGGAGTTTATATGAAAGAGATATGGATATTCAAAGTTAAGGTGATGATTTTGTACCTATTGTCACTCTTTTAAACATAACGTATGCATACAAAAAGCAATGAAAAATCGGCAATTGGAATTGAAGAAATCACTTTTTTTGCTATACTTTTTGCATATTGATTGATGAATTCCAAGATGAGATAAAGGAGATATTGGAAGTTGAAGTCAACACTTACAAATCTAAAAGTAGTAAATGACTTGATTCACTAGTGGTTGTGTTTTGAGCTATATCTTGAGCAATTTGATGAGATTTTGGCTCAATATTTTCAAAAATGTGTATTATCATGTTTTTAAATTTTATGCTCAAATTTTGTAGTATTTGAGTTTTTGATTTTCAAGATATGAAAAAAATAGTACTAGGGTGCTTGTAGATTAGAGTTTAGAGCACCTGCTAGGATTTCTATGATGCCAGAAGATTGGTAGTGAATTTACAATTAATTGTTTTATGGTAAAGCTTAAGAGTAAGTGCTATACTATCTAGAAATTTGAGAGAAACTAAACGGTTGGATCAAAAGATATAAATTTTTAAAGTTTGGTAAGAAAAAATCCTATGCAGGAAAAATATGTTTTGAAGGATTTTGCTGCAATTTGGGCATTTTATATAAAGGGAAGAGGTTTTGGGAGCCAAGACTTTGTATATAAGTTAAAGGTGGAATAAATCACTTATTGGAGCTTAGCCAATAAGTTAAAACTAAATTCTCTAAAGCTAGATACCTCATATATTTCTAGATTGCAAATCACGCCATATGACACCAATCCCCTCTTCTCTTTTTTCCTTGTTCTAATGGCAAGACTTAAGCCAAGGTAATTTGGGGTGTGCTTATAGTGTAAGCTAAAAATGTAATTACTACCTCCACAAAACAATGCCCCATTAATAAAAGGATTTTCAAAGTTATTTGTTTAAATTAATAAACTTGTCACTTAAGTTGAAAAACTTTCTATTGCAAAGAAATTGAGGCTAGTTAGGAGGAGCCTTGCAACAACATTGATTGAGTTAATGTATTGCTCAATTTAAAGTCTTAATACACTAAAATCTTTATAGTTTGAAATAATGAAAATTTTATCATTGATCCCTAGTAATGCTATGCCTCTTGTGCCTAAGAAATATCAAATTTGCTAGTTGTTTTGATAGATGTAGCAAATATGTTTTATTATAAGCCACACAATAGAGGTTAATTTAATATTCTTATATATATATATATATATATATGCATATTTATAGATATTTCTTTTAAAAAGAAGTCTAGAAAATTCTTTTAAAATTTCATATAAGTTCTATCAAAATATAATGTATAAGTATAGTTTAAGTAAAATCATGTTTATTTAGAACAAAATTTATTTTAAAGTAATGATATACCTTTTTTAAATAATTTTAAATTTTTTTTTCTCAAATATCAATTTAATTATTTTTAATTTTAAAATAATGATTTATTAAACAAAGTATCAATAAGTCAAAACATTATATAAAAGCTAAAAAAAAAAAAAAAAAAAAAAAAGTAGCATAATGCAGTAACTTGTTATAAATGTATTATGATTTTTTTGTGTGTTTTTTAAAAAGGATCATGTCATAAGTAGATATTATTATAAAATTTTAATTACTGATGAAACTTTTTAATACAGCTATTTTTATTCATGCAGCAACATAGAATTTCAATTTTATAAAATGGTGTTTCAAAGTACCTTGTTACAGACTTACATATTCCAAAGAGGCTTCATGTTTAAGAATTTTTACTTCCCTGCAAATAATATATATGTTTATGTATATATATATATATATTTATATATATCTCTCTGTGTGTATGTATGTGTGTACCTATATCCTTTCCTTCAACAATTCCGTTTATAAGTATACATCATATGTTTATGAGGTTTGAGTCAGATGTTTTTTGATTGGGATTTGAAGTACTGTATAATCTCATGTAAATAATTTTCAACTTGCGAAATTTACATTATTTTTTTTGTACTTGTTGCTCTGTCATTACTAACATTTAATCATCTTTAATTTTTAGAATAAATTTTGTGTGACAAGTTTTTTTTTTTTTTTTTTTTTTTTCTTTTTGATAATTCCTCTCTCTCTCTCTCTCTCTCTCTCTCTCTTTAATTCTGTAATCGGAGAATAAAAAAATGGCAGAAACCTCACAAGCCACAGAAAATTGCAATCATCATGAGTAATCCATGCACATCTCTACTTAGCAAACTTAGGAAAATACTTAAGCCTAACTTCACTAAGTTATTTCTCTTTATCTTGCACGTATGACTAAACGTTATATCAGGATGATTAATTTGTTTGTGATACTAAATCCTATTAATTGTTTGAAAATAGATGTTTGCAAAGATTGATATATTCAATTGTGCATATCCATGTATACTCATCCAGCATCTCAAATTTGTGATGATTCATCCAAACAGAAACATGAAGAATAAGAAATTTTCACTACCACAGCTTTCATAGCGATGATACAGAGAGCTTTCGTGCGAGGTTTTGAGATCCTGTGCAAGTCCCTGCCCTGGATACTCTCAGGTTGAAAGCTTTAAAATCTATAGCTCTGGTTACTGCTGCAGAGCAATTCCTGTCTGTAAGATATATGCCCCTTGAGCTTTGTGAAGCCTCAATGTGAGGCTCAAATCTTCACACCCTGTGATTTATTACTGTCACAATGTCTCCCTCTAAGATAACCGCTTCTGCACTCTTCTAGAGAGAAACAGCTCAACCTCCTTTCAATGACATTAGGTGGCAGCTGATTCTATTAACGTCAAGCCAAGTAAATGCACAATGTTAGTGCACATAAATGCCTGTCCAAAAGCAGCCTGCGGCACGCATTAGCCTCATTAACTTCTGAAGAACTTGGCGTTCTCTGCTGCAATGGGAATTGTAACGAGGACATAATCCCACAGCTCAGCTTTTTAATTAGTTAACAGCCGCATAGCCCTTCGGGTGCGCTTTCCGCCACTTCCAAGCTACTCTTAGCGTCTGGGTCAAGTCGGTGTGTTGGGCAATCCACTTGAGCTCATTGTTGATTAGAGTCGGATCACTGTAAACCTCAGCATAATCACCCGGCCGCCGCTCCATGTATTTAATAGTTACGTTCACACCTGTTGCTTCTTTACAAGCTTCGACGAACTGCTTAACACTCACACCTGAGAAAGACCATCCAAACCAGCAAGTATAATTAGCTTTACCCATCTAGTAACCATCCATCAGAAACTAATCCACGTGGCTATATATGTAGAAGCAAAGAGATTACCTTTACCAGTAGCCACATTATAGATTCCCGTTTTTCCAGGCTTTGCAGCGTTCAAAGCCTTGACGTGAGCATCTACAAGATCTGTCACATGTATGTAATCTCGCACACATGTTCCATCTGCAGTATTGTAATCCGTTCCTTGAACCTGAAGCCAGCACATTGCACTGTTGAATTCTGAACGAACCAGACCGTGCTGAAATATAGTAGAGGCAAGTAGGAACTATCCAACGATAACCTAGATGACTGTCAAAACTATTGCAGCTGAAAAATCTAATAACAATGATGAGATCAGTTCCAACCTTCAATTCTGGAATGACACCCATTGCGGCATCGAAGCAAGCCCCTGATATTCGTCCGTGGGCTCGAAGTTCCGGTCGTGGAGCTTCTCCCAAACGTCCTTTGGAATCGGACCCAATTACATTGAAGTACCTGATTATCCAAATTTACAGAATGTGACTAAATCTAGACCTCCACACTGATAAAACAAAAGGGTCCGTCATCGATCTTCCATTGAACTTAGCCTTGATCAGAAAATAAAAACTTGAAGGCCATGCAAGAACCCCAAATTCCAAGGCACCACGAGTTGCAATATTTCCACTGAACTCTTAACAGGAACGAACCTCAGGATCATCACCGATAACTGGTCATTACTCTTGACGTAGTCCAAAATAATGTCTTCTGCCATCTTCTTTGCTTTCCCGTACGGGTTGATTGGAACCTATATACGGACCCGTGAGATTAAAACTATTCTCAAGACTAAAACTAAAACTACAACTACAGATCTTCCTAACAGAATCAAGATTCCAAGACCAAGAGTAACAGCAACTTACCTGTGGTGTGCTTTCCTTTATGGGCATAACGTCAGGTTCTCCATAAGTTGCACAAGTGCTCGAGTAAATGAATTTATGAACACGATGTCTCACCATGGCCTCTAACAACCCCAGGGTATTTGATGTAATGTTATGGTAGTACCTGCACAAATTAAAAAAGCTCCTTCACTACATACACAAGATGCACCAAACTGTATTCTGCAATTTGCCATCTTGTTCACGACAGACCGGCTTTGGAGCCCAGGGATATTGCAGCGTATTGATCACGTGCGTACACGTATAGGGTGATCTGTAACGGAGATCAATCATTGCCTAAGAGTGTATATGAAATGTAATGTTTACCTCAACGGTTCAGCCGTACTCTCTCCAACGTAAGCCACTGCTGCAAAATGCATGACCACATCTATTGCATTTTTGCTGAATACTTCATTCACCTGCATTTGATTGTCAAGAAAAAAACTCTCCCAATCTTGAGTATGCAGAATAAGTAGAGCTGGAAAGCAGACCACGAAATATAATTGCTGGAAACACGTCAAGATCATAATATCTTTCATGAGAACAGTAGCGCGCATAGATAGTTACTCCTCCCCAAAAGATTGGCATCATAAGGATACAGCTTTACTGTCACCAAGGTCTACGTAGAGAAACTGCAATCTCCCAGGTTCTGGAAACAGATCCTGCAGAACCTGGACGGCTCCCATGTTTCCCCTTGACAGATTATCCTGGGAATGTCAGAAGTAAATTAAAACTGTCAATAAGTAGAAGATAGGGGAATCAGAAATTGAGAAATGTGCGATAATTTTGCCTTGTCACCACAGGAATACAGGGTAGTGAGAAGATACCACTATAGTGACCCGATAGCCATCTTGCAGTAATCTTAAAGTGGCATGAGAGCCAATGTAGCCTGCACCGCCAGTCACTAATACGTGGGTCATATCATCTTTGACAGAAAACTGCAGGCACAATCCAAAAAATGATTTTAGCACAAATGGATACTAGCATCATCCCTACATGGAAAAATATTGCAATAAATTAAAGTTTGAAAAATACCAGAATTCACATTCTCTGCTAGAAAGGGTCATTCAAAAGAAAATCATTTACTGCAAACAACTTCATTCCTGAAAAAACTGATTTCCCGCAAGACTTGAGACATGTAAAAGTAAATAATAGTATCAGAAGTGAGATTGGAACTACAGAGAGTTTTACCTTGTCGACAGTGCCGGCAGAATCGTACTGATGAAGAATCAACATGCATAGCGAAGTTAACGTCACGGCAATGATGACCTTTATCAGCAACTGTGACCGTGGGCGTGAGACCCCATCCACCATCCCTGCTGGACCGAAGAGACCAAGACACCCGAGAATCGAATTACACAACTCTTCCGGCACAACTTGACCATCATCAAATGATCTGAACGCTTTCCACGAGCACGAATAACACCGTCTAAATATGTACAAGAGATCATTCCCCTAACCATGTAAATTCTACTTCCAGCTCAAAGGAGGAGGGGGGAGGGGTTTCGAGGGGAAAAAACAGCACATGCTGGTGGTTAAGCAAACATTCATGAATATGACTCTTAGATTAAGATAAGCCCACCTGCAAGGCTCCATGTTGACCTACCCAATCGAGTGGGGGTATTCCCTCCGATGTTGCTCCGCCTCCGGACAAGGGGCGAACCTGGCATCATGATTGCGGTATTTCAAGTGCCAATGATCCACCGTCTACTGGAAATAATATAATAGACCACCTCTTAGAGGTACGTGCCTTCTCTTGCACAACCTCCCAACGAGGTCGGTGCCATTCGCCAATCGCAAACACCTACATCATCGAGGTAAACACACGAAGGATCAATCGATGTCGCCATACAATACAGATAGCATACAGAGAGTTTAGAGGTGCGAAAGTGGTGACCAACAAAAAAAATCAAACTACGAACAGATACGGTAAAGTCACTTCATGGTCCAAGCAGGCCTAGTACCTACGAAAACCATATTTACTTAGGCCCAGAGATTTGGACACGGTCGAAAGACAGGACAGGACCACAAGAAGCCTGATAAGGAGAGAGAAGGCCGTGTCCAACAGTTAAATGGTTATCCGTGTGGTTAGTTCAGAAATATGATCGAAAATTGAAACGCGATCATATTACTATATTTCAGAAAGCAACATTTACCACAAATATATGACGCTCATGTACCATAAGACGTGATTCAAGGCAGTGCTGTCAACTACGAGCGGGAGGTGACTTACTGTGGTGATTCAAGTGCCATGTACGTACTAAACATCAATTCGTCGGCAGCTAACACATTTACACTAGTGACATCTCAATGCACATATAATCTTGGAAACGAAAGGCAAGTTCAAGGTAAATTGAGCTGTCTCGCTTACGTCCATCAGACGATAGCAGACAATAAAATTGGATTGGCACTTCTTCAGCCAAGAATTGTTGAATAGCGAGAAGCGGAAGAGAGTGAGACAGCAGAACTCTTGCGGACCATTTCTACCGAGATGACGAAATAAACGAGAGTGAATCAGACAAACTACTCTTCCACCTTCTCGACTCAAACTGACTGCCAAATCCGTCTGAGAAAGAGCGTGTCCGTTCGAAGCTGGGCGTCGCACAAAGACTATAACCAAAGCCTGCAAGCTGAAACTCCGAATTTACCTTAAACCCTCCATCACGAGGGTGAAAACATCGCTCACTAATCTCTACAACGCCAGAATCACCTTAAGCTAACGTGGGTACTTCAAAGTACGAGCTCATACGCATTATGTGTATTCCGGCGGGTAGCTCCAACTCTCTGGATTGAGTCCCCGGAATCCAGAACTCAAGAAAACCCCCGAAACTCAAAAACCCCAAAACTCACAAAACCCAAAAGTTACTCACCCGCCCAGCCAGCTCATCAACCACACGAAACAATGACGCACAATCCCGAAATCAAACGAGAACCCACGACCACAATGGCCTCGCTGCAGACATCCTCCCACCCATTAGCTCTAAAAACACATTAGAGTTAATCTAGGCCAAAAGAAATCACTTGGTGAGCAAGAAGTAGAACCTCACAGACTGAGAAGAGATAGGCAGCAGGGCAAAGTGAGCATGTAGATTCCACCTACTGCAGCATTGATGAGGCAGCAGCAGCAGCAGGGGCTGCACCCTCATCCTGACAAACGGTGATGGCTATGAAAATCGGAAAACGAGAGGGGGTAACCAGCAAAGCGAGAGGAATGTTTAATATAGCGCTCGGTGACGAATCGTTCGCCTTTCGACTGACGAACAGCGATTTCGTGGTGCATGCGACGGATCAAAGAATTCGTCGCCCAAGCTCAGGATGGATCTTCGTTCGTTCTCGGGATCCGGCCTTTTCGTGCTCGGGCACGGGCATGGGCAGGCACGTTGCCCGTTGTGGAAAATCGGAATAGAGTGCGGAGGTTGTGGAGTGCGGTGTGAAAAGAGTTGGGAAATGTCACAGATGTTCACATTCGCTATTGAAAACGGGTTTCAACGTGTGCACGTTCCTGCATGATGAGTATCTTTCTAATTACATTCTAATTAAATATGTTATTTATTTTCATTTAAAAATTTCCAATCAATTAAAATTTTGGAGTCGATATAATGAGTGGTAAGGTTTACTAGGAAAAAAGCCATTTCACAACTCACATTTCAATTTTCATATTTACTTTTCTTTTAAATGTACATGTATTACTTTTTTTTATTATGATTTTTATATGTATTAAATTTAAAGGATATATATTCACAAATTTAGTATATCACCAAGGTTTTTTTTATTCTTTTTTATTTTTCTTTTAAAATGTGATTTTATTTAATGTGGTTGAAGGATTGATTGAAGTTTTTGCATAATTCACTATTGTATGTTGATACTATTATGAAATTTAGAATTCATGTTACAAAGTCTAACTTCATAAACAAAACCAAAAATTATTAAAGGCATGCCTTACTAATATATATATATATATAGAGAGAGAGAGAGAAATAATAATAATAATAAATAAATAAATAAATAAAATGACACATGTTTTTACTAAAGTGATCCACTCTATCTTATCATTGAATCCTTGCAGCCCCCATCCCTATTCCTAGTCATTTCCTATTCCCTATTCCCAACTATTGTTAAAGATAGGGATAGAAGACTAGAAACATTAGAAATAGAGTGATGGTTGGGAACAAGGTAATGGTTGGGAATGGAGACATGATTAAAAGAGTACAATGATAATTTAAACATGTAGGTTGATTTAGTAAAAATTTGGATTGCTTTATCATTTTCTTATATATATATATATATATATATATGTATGTATGTATGTATCAAGTAATTTTACTTAAAATATTGAATGAAGAAATTTGCTTAATAACAATATACAAGAAGAATTCAAATTTAAATTAATTTAAAAAATAATTTGAAAAAAAAATCAAATCTTATACAATTAGATTTTTAACTTTTAAAGATAAAAAATCAAAGATTAAATGTTAATTATAATTATAAAAGCATAGTGTTTATTATATAAAAGAATTTATCATATTTTTAAATAAAATTTTGTTAATGATAAGAAAATAGTATATTAGAGTTGGTGATAATTAATATTGTATCATTATATTTATTGTGTACTTGTTTAAAAAGAATCCTTGTCCATTAATTTGAGAATGAAATAATAAAAAAAATTATGTCTATATTTAATTTTTTAAAAACTATCTTCCAAAACCTTAATACAAACTAAAATTATTAATTAGATATAATATTAATTTAAAGTCTATGGCATCAATTAATAATGCTACAAAATATTTAGCTATTTATTCATTTATAATATTTACATAAAATATAAATTATATTATTTTTATTAAAGAATCTATGATTACAAATATAGGGTTATAAAAATTTGAGATTAGAAGATATAAGTTGGTAATTCTTTATATGTTTTTGGATCTTCATGCATATGCTTTGAAATTTATTTTAAATAGTTTTTTTTTTTTTTTTTTTTAAATTTTAATATTAAGTGAATATTTTTTAGTAAAAGAATTTATTTATCTTTTTATAGACTATTGAAAATTATTCTTTTAACTCCATCAATTTTATGTATTTTTTAAAATCTTACAAGTTGTAGGCATCTTAGCTTTGAGCTAAATCTTTTAATGAGTCTTCTTCAATAAAATTTGAAAGGACTTTCCAATTTTTTATTTTTTAAGAAAACTACCCTTTTAAGTCTCTTTTCTATTTTTTTTCTTTCATTATTATGCTAAAAATAAATATTTTTTATTTTTATTTTTATTTTTTATTTCTATCTTATTATTTTTTACATCCTCTTCTGTACTCAAAGTTACAAGCTTTTATATAATTGAAGTATGTACTAATCTTTACAATAATAATAAAAAAAAATACTAAGATTCTCCATGATTTAATGTAAACATTGACAAAGAATACACTATTTGAAAACAAACAACAAGATTGTGCAATTCTTCTGCTAGTCTGTAACAAGTTTTATCATAAATAAAGGGGATTGTTTGATGGTTTTTTAATATATATATATATATATATATATATACTTTTATATTTTAAAAATACACAATTATAATTTTATCAAGTCTAAAGCCTTATTCATTTATACTTTTGGAGATTGATGAGATAAAGTTTTTTAAATTATATTTTTAGTAATATGATTTTAGACATTTATATATTTATAATACGAACTTATGAGTGTTACTAAATATGAATTCCTATTGTAATTACTTAAAAAAAATAAATACTAGAGTTTTAATTCAATGTCTTGTTATAATATACATCTACATTTATTTTACCTTTGGACTACATATGAAAAAGATGTAAAAGAAAATAGATTGCACACTATGACAAATTATTTATATGATTATATTATTATTTTGAAGTTTATGTGCATCTAAACCATCTTTAAGGTATATTATAAGATTAAAATAATTTCTTTTTGAGCTAGTAGAATAACTTTACATTTTGTCTACAATGCTTTCTTAATGTTTTATTTGAGTTGATTGACTATTTAGTACTAGTTATAATAATGGTGATCAATGAGTTTTGGTAGATTTCATAGCCATCTTGTGTCTATCTCATATGATTTATTATTCTAAAAAGTGAATCATTCTTAGAACATGATTGTTATCTTTAAATGTATAATTGTGGATGAAAGATATAATTATGAGGAAGATTTTATGTAATTCCATTTTAAAAGTAGAGTATTATGAATAGAATATATTGTTTGTGACATTATTTCATGCTACTCAGAGGAGAATAATTTAGAATGATAAACAATAATATAAATTGGAAAAAATGTAAAAGACAAAAGGAATCAATAAATACAAAGTCAAAAAGACATGGTTGCATGAGGTTGGCATCTCCAAGATTTGTGAGTGAAGATACAAAAAAAAACAAAGATGATTTTTAAAACAACAACCAATGACAGCAATGTCAAAAATGAAAACTCAAAAAGAAATATAAAAACCACCAACCTACACTACACCAATTTAGATTGGAGACCTACTTGGTTAACATGCATTGAAAAAATAAATTAAAACTTAATAAATCAAAGTAATTGGTTTTGAAATAAAGTCAAGGAACATATTTTTTTTTTCTATGGCACCCTACAATGGAACAATTCCCAAAAGAACAAGCTAAGTTGAGTAATTCAGCATGAGGCAAGCCACCTTGGTTGCCCACTTAAATGTACTTTACAAACTTTAGTAGTTTAGGAGGAATTTGGTAGAACTACAAACCATTCTATTGCACTTTGAATTATAGTCTTAAAACAAAACATTATTTTAATAAAAGTGTCATGTTAGGAGGTAATGTCACCAACTCAAAAGTCATGGATATTTTGCTATTGGTAAATAATCTAAACAAAAAATAACAAATCATGAACATCTCAAGTAATTGTGGAGGGCAATAGTAGATGAGAAAGTAATTGCCCTTGCTTAAATGCATACATGTTTATTGATCAATGCCGTTCCACAGACTATAAGGGCTAGGAACCAAATTTGAGATCAGTATCCTAAAAGGAGCATGAAAGAGGCTCCACTTGCTGTGGAATGTCCTTGAGCCACTTTTATCCAGATCTGAATTTCAAAGATTCCTCTTATAACATTCCAAAATTGGACTATCAGATCACGCCTTGGCGCAAAAATGGAATCACAAAAACTGCGGTGATACTATATTAAATGATTCAGAATCAAAACAAAGAAAATGAAAATTAATTGGTATCAAAGATTCAATTGTATAAACATGATGTAGGACTGACATGACGGTGGGATCACTTAGGATGATGTCTACACAAAGCTCACAATTGGGATTCACAAAAGGCCTTCATTCAGCGGGACATGTTACGTATAAAAACTGTAGTTGGTCCGATAAAGTGAAATCTAACGATTTGAATGAACTAAGATTGCTTGAATGTGCTTCAAAAGTTACATGATGAACATGTCGTGGTTAACCCACTGGTGCTAATCTCTGACAACTCTTGTGATATTTCTCCTCATCACAATTACATCAAAAAAGTATCACTAACTGGTGGAAGGTGTTTGAGCTGATTGCCAAGTCAACTCGAACATGACTAAAATACAGTACGCAGTCCTTTCAATAGCTGAGTGTCATCTCTTTCCTCTGGAAGCACCAGGAAACGATTTGCTACTTTTCTACACACAAGGAAAGAAATGCAACAGTAAATATATAATGGTCAAGGAATCATAAGAAACAAGGAGACACTTGCTTTGTTTCCTACCTCTAAAAATTGATATCTGTTTCAAAAACAATAAACCGCATCAAGCAGTTGAATACAGACATCACCAATTCTGATAGTCACTGCATCCGTCCTTTTTAAGTTTCAACGGATTAAATCCGTAATATTTCGAAAGCATATGAATCTGTTTCCTTGTTAACTTGTTGAGACAATCTTAGTCGTGCAAACGCTAAACTAATATTCACTCACAGAAGTAAGCAATTTGTTGGCTTGGATTATTATTAATATTCGAAATACAGAATAGGTTAGGGGAAGAGGACAAAGCATACCGATCTTGAGGCTAGCATAGTCTTCCTCTTCTGATACTTGAAAGCTTTCTCTTGGGCTAATTGCGCTGCTTTAAGCTTACGCATGCTGGGTCGGTACAGCAACAACGTTCTCCCCATCTTACCCACGATTTGAGCTCCAGTTTTGCTCTCAAGCTTACTAGCCGTATCAGCAAGTTCTTCATCCAGATTGTCCAGTACTCTAATCTGTAAAGAATATATCAGTACACACAATAAGATTCAATATACAATTAACATTTTAATTTTAAACAAGTTTGAAATTAAAAGGGAGTTGCAATTTAAACTGGTCGTCATACTGCATAGATCCGTGAATTCCATGTTGACAATGGAGAGAAGAAACAGACTGTTACTGGTCTAGGAGCCATAGTACCAAAACGTCGTAACTCAAGGAATATTTGCTACTTTCAATATCATTAAAATGAAATAAAATAAAATATCTCAGCTCAGACAGGGTTTACGATTGCCACACACATAACAAGAGGAGAGAATCACCTTGATGAGTTCATTTGCTTCCAGTGCGTCACTGATAGCTGTAATACAATTCGCAGTCAAACCCCACTTTCCAACCTGCAAACCAGAACACCACGTGAGACTAGTTAGAACCATATCGACATGGTCAGAATTGAGGAATTCCCCCTGAAACTTGATATATTGCAATGCGCATTCTTGCTAGCCACCTTGCAACTTACGCTTTCAGCAGAATCTTTCCCATATTGTATCAGAGGACTCTGCAAATAGCTTGTCGAGGAGGAGTAAGGAATGACAGCAATGGGAGAGCAAAACCAACCTGGTGTATGCAAATGTCATTGCCCAACTGATGTGCATATGCCCGCAGTTCCTTCTTCTCCTTATTTCCCAACTGCCTAAATGTTCGCCTCACTTTCTCACCACCGGAGGCCACATTCCGTTCCTGCTCATTACGCACAGCGCCTACAACATCCCCATCCTCCACCTCGTCGTCGTCGTCGTCCTCCTCCTCCTCCTCTTCCTCCTCTAGACCTAATTCATTCTCATAATAAGACAACCCATCATCACCATCCTCTTCATCTAAAACCGAAGTTTCATCTCGAGAGGCGACGCGAACCCCACCCACTGCCGGTGTCCAAGACGCCACAGGGAATCCCAGCAACGCGCATCGTCTTCGGGACACCCACCCAAGTGAAGACTGCACACGCAGACTGGAAACCTGAGAAACAGAATCAAGACGGGAAGTCGAAGGAGTCGAAACCTGCAAGAGAGAAGAGCAACTCCCATGCAAAGAGATAGCAACCATGATCCCAACCGTCATGGCTCGAACAAATGCCTCCCACAGAAACGAGGATAGGATTGTTCTAAACCCCTAAACCCTGCGCTTCAGTAGCTAAAAAATGCTTTAGGCCACCCAAACGATTCCAACGCAACAGGAAATTCTGCATCACAGCTTCAAGTCCGCGCTAACATCATAAACCGACACAACAAACGCTACAATCTGAGAACGAAATCGTCGTGGTGTGAAGATTAGCTTCGAAACACGGAGATGGGATACAACCCAACTGGATGAAAGGGAATCGTCGTGCGATCCTCTTTCTATGACCGTCGAACGAAGTCGGCCGCCTGCCTCCCACAACAACAAGAAGCACTCACCATCGACGCTACCGTCTTTTTCGTCGTCGTCGTCCACCCTAAGGGCCGCATTTTGTCTCTCCTCAATTGCATGCACGATGTGAATTAGTGAGTGCTTTCAGTTGTGAAATTTTCACTTTGATTTCAATGGGTTAACATCACCTTTCATGTCCTCATTATCGTCCATCGCCGCAGGTCCACTCAACAACATGATCATGTCAAGAACAATGTTGCCCCTAATTGCAGCGGATTTGATACTACGGTGGATTGAAGCAGGTGGGTGTTTCTTAGACCTTCTCATCCTCGAAGAATACCAGACTTGCGAGAAGGTGAAAAAACACAACATGAACGGCTTCAATACATTTTGTTTACCTAGTGAGTATCCCTTTTCTTGTATTTTCTTTGCTTTTGTCTCAGCTTCTCCGTTATTCTATTAAGTCTCGCTCTCACTGAACTTCTTTCTCATGGTTCGTTTTGTTTCTGTTTTATATGCAGCAAGATATCACTCAGGCTTACAATGTTCTCTGATTTGGAACGCATTCTTGTGTGCAGATCAACTACCAATTCTGCAATACTAAGAAGCCCAACATGATTATTTAGATGTTGCAATTTATTTATTTTTGCTACTTCTGTGATGGAGCCTCACTTCACAAGGCTTCACACGGCTTCCTTCAGGACCCAGGTATTTTGATTTTTCTTATTCTCTCACCTGATCCATTTTCTTAATTGGAGAGCTTCTTCTTGAGTTCTCAATGTTAGGATAATATAGTATACAAGTACAACCATACAAATATGAGTCTAGAAAGGGAGTTTTTTATGTGCATCATTTTTCTATAAGAAGATCTTTAGAAATTAAAAAATTAATCAGAAAATTGAATTAAGAATAATTTAAATTGTATAAATTGTATTCTTAAATATACAAGTTATAAATTGTATTCTTAAATTTGATGGTTTTTATTTTTAAATAAAGATTTGTTTTGTAAGTAATCTTTAATTCTAACTTATTTAGGATAGATTCATGCATAATATTGATGTTACTTCTATTATCTAGTATGTTTTTAAAGATTATTTTATTCACAATTTTCACATCTATTTTCAAAGGTATATACTTTCAGTTTTTTATTTTTAGTTCCTTTGTCATATCCAATTTTTCTATCTTTCACTTCAACTATAGTTATTTTTATATTTTCTTAGTTGCTTATCTTTTTAGATTTTTAATTAATTGATTAATCATTTATTTTTTAACCATCCTATAGGATTTTTATATTTTAATCTAGGATAAAACAGAAAATAGGAGTTTAAGACTCAACTTTTAGTGCTTCTTTGTAATATAAAAATCAATAATCAACAGATTTATCATAAAAATTTATATTTGCAAAGTTGCAAAATAAAGCAATTATGTTGTGCAAATCTTCATAATATTGAAATTTACATGAATATCTTCAAGAATGACATATCTTTTTTAAAATAGATGGTAAGAAATAATACATTTAAAAACATGATTTTAAGAGGGATAAAACATGTTTAGTGAAACTATTAGAGGTAGATACTACATTTAATATAGTATGTATGATATGTTATTTAAAGATAATTAAAAATATTTTAATAATAATTAAATAATCAAGTGATCTTTTTGTTTAAGTATTAGATATTATTGATGATTGAAAAAATCCATTAATTACCTTTATAAAGAATATATCTATATATATATATATATATATATATATATATGTATATTTTCATAATATTCAATAAATCTTAGACTTTATAAACCTATTCAACAATTTGACTATTCTTTGTAGGATCTATTTCTACAAGGAAAGGCAATGTAATATATGCCTAAATTACTTAAATAAATAGAAGTAAGTAGAAAGTGGTTATATATGTTAAGTAGATAATATATTTTTTTAAAAACTTTATGAAAGTTTTTGAGACTTTAATTAGATCTTTAGATTCCTATAAACATGGCAATTGAAACCTATCCTATAAGTTGTTTACTTTTGGAAAGTTGTATTAGAAGCAATATAAAACTTAATTATTTAGCTATAAGTCTTATAGTCCTTAGAAAATTTTCAAAAGAACTTTTTTGTAGTTAAAAAATATATATATATATATATATATATATATAGAAGGGAAAGTAAGGTCATTCTTAGTATTACTTACATTTTTTTAATTTTAAATTTTAATTCAAAATTCTCTAATTTCTTTGAATATGGCAACAATATTTTTAATTTTTTGCATCTTACATCTATTTTTACTTTTTTTACTTTCTTTTCTCTTCAATGATACATGAATTTATTATCTTTGAGAGTTTTATATAAATTCAATTCCTTTATAATATTTTAAACAATATTTATTTCTGTTAGTAATATATATTTTTATCAACAAGATTACATTAAAAAGAATTAGTACTAATTTTGTAAAGAGAATGTAGAATATTCAAATTGTATTTTAATATATATATGTGCTATAAAAAAATATTAAATTATACTAAAAATTATAGGTAAAAAAACTTGCACACATTGAAAAACCAAAACTAAAGAATTTGTATTATTATCTTTTGATCAAAGTGCCTTAAAAAGATAAAAATGTTTGCCAATAGTACTAATAGCACTTAAAGTACTATCTTCTAGAAAAAACTATTAAAAACAATAGAAAAAATAGAATATACCATATGTAATACATTAAGTGTATAACTTGTAGTAAAATCTTGCTATTTGGATGTCAACAATATTTCTTCTAGTGATAAACACTTTTGTATTAAAATTAAAAAAAATATATCTTTTTAAATTAACAAAATATACAAAAAATAATGTGTATGCATTCTGATCTTAACAAAATTAAAATGTTAATTAAAAGAATTTCAAGTGCATTATCTTGAACACTATAAATATGCAAGATTAATATATCAATTAAATTATATAAATAACAGCTATGGTAAAATAGGACTTTGAAATTATCTTCTTATTTAATATAGCTTTTATAGATTTTATAATATATTGGTCTTTTTGTTCATCAATATTCTTCTATTGAGACACATAAACACATTTTATTTATTTTCTTAATATTGTATTCTTACAAAAGTTGCATCAAAGTATTTTAAAATATACTTGTGTTATTTTATTAAAACATGAGAATAAGATGTTGTAATTGTGTTATTTTTATTGTTGTGTATGTGTTTTTTTTTTTAATTATAAAAAATCAAAAGACAAATAAAATATTTGACTTATTTAAAAATTAATTAGATCTAAATAAATTTTAAAATACCATTTACAAAGGAAACAAGTAATATAAACTTATCAAATTTCTCTAAAAAGAAATATATTTAGTATATAGTAACTTTAATATTGTTATATTAACATATATTATGTTGCAATTCAATATCTATAATAAATATACTTATAAATATACCTATAAGTATAAAAAACTAGGTTCTTTGAAATATTAAATTTATTTATTTTATATTTTATATATATTTATTTTATTTTTAGAATCTTCTTATAGTATATTTAACGTGAATTTATTTAAAAAACTAGATTCTTTATATATATATATATATATATATATATATATATATATATATGCAAAGAACTACTTTGAAATTAGATAATTTCTTATAGGAAGAAAAATTAAATTATAACATATGGCATGCTTAAGATTATAAATGTTAATTATAAGATAAAATTTAAATAATGATTCTTTTAAATTTAATATATAAGAATAATGTATCATGTGCTTTGAATAATCAAAATTAATAAGCCTTTTTTTATTTGTCTTAAACCTTATTACTATAATATAAATTATGATTAGTAATCAATTATAGTAGTAGAAATCTTTTCCATGTAATTTAGTTCAATAAATTTATTATTTCATATATTATATTTTTTATTCTTTTAATATATTTTGAATATTATGCAAAATAAAATTGTTATTTTAAATCTTAAGTTTATTATTTTTTACATGCTCTACTTAAATAAAAATATAAAAAATATATTTAACAATGATCTTTCTTGAAATCCATCAATTATTATTTCACTTGAAACTCTCTTATATTTGTTTAATTTTAAAAAATATTTATTAATAAATTCTAAACTATTTAAAGAATATCAATGCTATATATGTATCCAAAAATAGATAGGAAAAGATACTAAGAAAGATAATATATTATTTAATATTAATATTTATTTTATTTATAAATTTGGAATCTACAAAAATACTATGTAGACAAGATTTAGTATCTATAATGAATTTATGTGATTTTTAGTAATTTAGAAAGAGAAAAATTACATATTTTTGTTTTGAGTAGTTATTCTTTACAAAGGCCATACTTATGATTTTATTAAATGAATTTAATTTGATAGTCTTGAAATAAATTATTCTTAGTATTTAAATTAATATACTTAATAAATAATAATGATATGTAAAAATATAATGTACCAAATAAAATAAAACATAATAAATTATAATTTGAATATTGAATTTAGTCATAAAATATAATATATACAAAATAAATTGAATTCCTTCAAGTATATAATACTAATAGAACCTTTAACTTTACAATGAAATTAGAACATTACATCTAAACCAAGAGATTTTTTATTTATTTTAATTAAATAATATACAATAGAAAATAACCAATATTAGCATAAATATCAAAGATAAGAACTTGAAGAATATAAATAAACAAGTAAAATATTTTTTAAAAAAAGATGACAAAAAAAAAGAAAAAAAGAAGAAGGTATATTCAAGAAAAAACTAGAATAATTATTGTCAAAAGACAAGAAAACTAGAGACTCTTGAAATTAAATTAGAAGCAAAAAAATAATTGAGAAGAATAAAGATAGCTTTAGTTTTACATCCATATATACTATTTAATTATAAGATATATGGCAATGTTCGATTGAATCTTCAACATGTGTTGTACTAGCAAGACACATGTCTAATTTGCATGACAAGCTTAATTTTTGTTAAGAATTTTCACACTAAATTTCTTTTATTTCTCCATTAGGTCAAGAAGTAATTAATTTAAAGGTGATATTATAGCAAGAATTTTGATCAAAGGACAAAGTGTATTGGCGTTATATGAAGTACATCATGTAAATAATATAGAAGCTTATAATTTATTGAAGTTTAATACATATATTGAATATACAATAGCAACATAGAATGTGATTACTAATTCAATTATACAATTGCACTTAAATCACTTTATAGTACCATCTTCAAGATAACGGCATAATAAACTACTAATTTCTATACTAATGAAATTAATCATTATAAAAGATTGGCTATTGTTGTGTTGTAATATAATTATTAATTTAAAGAAATAAATATGCATTAAATTAAAGAAGATCTTGATTTTAAAATATAATAAAAAAATATAGATAAAAGATAAGGAGGTTGTAAAAAAATATTTAGTATTAATGTTTTATTTTTATAAAAAAGACTTTTATTGTCATGGAGATACACATGTAAATCAATAATTACCTGTATAATTAGATAAAAATAGGTAAACATAGGTTAATTCCATAATATCTTCTATAGAAACTTCATAGATATTTCTTTGAATTTATAAGTGTCTATAATTGACTTTTTAGGTTAGAAACATGGTCAATAAGTTGGCTATGTGCCATCTATCTTGATAGCTTGATAAACAAGCTAACTATGTGGTCCACACATAAAAAAATTGCCTTATAAACTAAGACATGTGTCTTGCAAAGTCAACACATATTAGAAGTCCTATAGAACATTGTCACGTAGCTCTTAATTAGGTAGTATATATAGAAGCAAAAGTGAAGCCCTCTTCACTCTTATCAATTCTTTTCTTGCTTCTAGTCTAGATTTATGAAATTCTAGTTTTCTTATCTTTTAGCAATAGCTATTCTAATTTTTTTTTTAATATAAATACTTTTTTATTGCTATTTTTTTATTT